CTTCCCTTCAGTCCATTTCACATGAGCTTAGGCCCAGAGAAGGTGGCAGCATTCCTGGATCCTGTTTATATATGGTTTCTTCTTTGCATTTGTGGATGCAGCGCCGAACTGTTTTCATAGACAGTGTTTTTCAGAAGTGTTCCTGAGTCCATGCAGAATCATGTCTGTTTTTAATGCAGTGCAGCCTGAGGGCCTGAAGATCACGACCAGCAAATACTGGTCCCTTGAATGCAGAGATTTCTCCAGATTCTCTGAATCTTGTAATGATATTATGTACCATAGATGGTGAAAAGCAAAACTTCTTTGCTATTTAACATTGAGAAATGTTGTTCTTGAATTGTTGCACTATTTGATCATACAGTCTTTCACAGAGTGGTGAACCCCTCCTCATCTTTACTTCTGAAAGACTTTCCAATCATGTTACTGACCTGTTGCCAATTAACCACCAGGTGTTTTTTAAGCATTACACAACTTTACCAGCCTTTTGTTGCCCCCATCCCAACTTTTTTGGAATGTGTTGCTGGCATCAAATTCAAAATGCGCAAATATTTTTCAACATTTAATATGTTGTTTTTGTACTATTTTCAATGAAATATAGGGTTTAAATGATTTGCCCATCATTGCATTTTGTTTTTATTTACATTTTTCATAGCATCCCAACTTTTTTTTGGAAATGGGGTTGTATTTTAAGGCCATCACAGTGAGAGTTGGGGGGATGTGTCTCCAGCACGTGGCCCACAGCCATGCAGCCCACTTGCTACTTCAGTGCATTGTTCCAGGTCAGTGTCCCAATCCTCAGATTTGTGTGGAAATGTCTTAACTCAAACTGATATTTGACCGTACTGAAGTGACTTATCGACTGATCCAGCCTGCAGTCTGTTGGACCATGGCTCTTGCCCAAGTGACCGTCTGCCCCAGTGTGCTTCAACAGCAGCACCGCAGGGGGGGTGTTTGGATTGACCTTTGATGTGCTCCTGACACCTTCCCTGCCAGCCCCCCGTCTGCAGGCCGCAGCAGATGGGGAGTGTGTCCCACTCTCCTCATTCTCTATGCGGCAGGGCTGCAGGCTGTTGCGCCAGCAGTAGGCTAGCGAGAATTAAATATGCATGGAAAAAAATGAATGGACGGAGAGCGTGGCCATTTATTCAGCTCGAGCAAGGCTCATTAACCCGATGACGGGGTAGCAGGTCACGCTGATTTCCTTACTTAAATTTAATATTTACTGCCTGTCTAACACACACACACACACACACACATTGGTATAACTATCTTTGTGGGGACTTCAGTACCAGCAGCTGTAAATGCTGTTGTGCTCCATCTAACTAAAACCTTAACCTCAGCATTCAAAAGATACATTTTCATTTCTTTTACTTTTTCTAATAAAAGCTGTAGTTTTGGGGTAAAAGGCATTTTCCTTGCAGGGGGCAGCCAAATGCATAGAAGCCCATTCACACCAGGTAGAGGTTGTTTTGTTTCTCCTCCTTTTCTGTTTCTGGCAGAAGTATGTCAAAACATTCATTCACTATCTCAAAACAATACAATTTTCTTGAAATATTGACTGTTCATCTTGAAATAATGACTTATTTTCTCTAAGTATTGACTCAGTCTCTCAAAATAATGACCTTTCTCTAAATATAGACTTATTATCTAAAAATAATGACTTATTTTTTCAAAACTTGACATCTCAAAATAATGACTTATTTTCTCTAAATATTGACTCAGTATCTCAAAAAATACTTAGTTACTCTAAATATAAACTTATTATCTCAAAATAATGACTTATTGTGTCTAAATATTGACTCAGTATCTCAAAATAATCTTATTTTTTCAAATTATTTACTTAGTACCTCAAAATAATGACTTACTGTCTCTAAATATTGACTCAGTATCTCAAATTAATGACTTATTTTCTCTAAATGTTGACTCAGTATCTCAACATAATGACTTATTTTCTCTAAATGTTGACTCAGTATCTCAACATAATGACTTATTTTGCTCGAAATATTGACATCTCAAAATATTGATTTATTTTCTCTAAATATTGTCTTAATATCTCAATATAATGAGTTTCTTTCTTGAAATATTGCCTTACTATCTCAAAATCGACTTATTTTCTTGAAATATTGACTTTGTCTCTCAATATAATTACTTATTTTCTCAGGATTCTAAGGTATTATGTTGAAATAATAAGTTTTTAAATTTTAAGAAAGTAGTTATTTCAGGATAATAAATCATTATCATAAGCTACTATGTCAATATTTTGAAGAATATGTGATTTTTTCTCTTAAATGTACTTCCCCCCTCACAAAATACCCTCACACAGTCTTACACAAGCACAAGAAAGAGATTTGAAGCTCTGAAAAGACTGCAAAGACTACTGACAATTAATACATATAATAATAGTAATAGTGTTATATGAACAATAATATATTAAAGTGTGTATCTCTCTATTAAAAGAGAAGATTGTGCAACAACGCATTACATAAACCACTTGTATATCCTAAGAAATCCTATCCCAAAAAAGTATCCTAATACGAAAAGAAACTCTTGCAGGGCCAAAGAGTCTCAGCTGGGTCTCAGAAGACAGCAGTAAAACTCTGTGATTAACTCTTTGTCACGGCTGGTGCTGAAGTTAAACTCTCCCCAGACACAGGACGGCATATGGGAGACGTGCAGGGCCTCTGACTGTGTGACGGGTGCCAGGGGACAGCAGCCGACGGGGCTGAGGTTGGCCCTCTATTCATCTCTCACTGAAGAGACACCAGCATCTCTGGGGCCCCGCAGTGGCCCACTGAAGCCTCCACACCCACCACCTCCCACACCAACCCCCACCAACCCCAACACACCAAAACAAGGCGATGCTATGCTGCTGATGCTCTGCTATCTGCAGATCTCAATGCAAATGCTAACAGGGAGGAAATGCAGAGCAGTCAGACTGTTAAAAAGTGATTGATGAGTTTAAAAAAGTGAGTAAGCTGTAAACACAGGTTCTTTGAAAGTTAAGTAAATTACTTTAAAAACATAATAACTTAAACTTAAAGAAAGTATAAAGATACTTATAAAGTTATGCAGTTACATGTTTATGTGTAAAGAGCTTGTATATACTGTAAAACACGGCTTTATTTTCAGAGATTGTACTTTCACCCTGTAGAAACTGAACATGGAAACATTACTGTATGAATCTAAGGCACATTTTCAGCCAGTTCTTATTTTTGCAGTTTCAAAAAATGCTTTGAATTGAGACACATAATATAGAATATAATGTTTCAATGGAAGAAATAAGACCAAAAAAACTGACTTTTGTACAAAGGCCTCAACAGGCCTCAATTTGAATGGTGATCTAGAAATAGTACAGATATTTACTATGCATTTTAATTATTTCATAGAATCTATCTATCTATCTGTCTGTGTATATATATATATATATATATATATATATATATATATATATAGATAGATAGATAGATATATAGATAGATAGATAGATAGATAGATAGATAGAATGTGTTTGGAATCACTTGGATTGTAAAAAGCTGAGTGCAACCAACTTCTAAGACTGAGCTTTGGAAGTATGGAAAAACATCCCTACAGATTTCTTTGAAAAACCAAAAGCAAGCCTTTCTGGAAAGAATGGAAACTGTAATAAATGCAAAGAATAGACAGAAAAATATTAATATTATTATTTTTAATAATAATAATAATAATAATAATAATAGCTTCCTTAACTTTTATTACCAGAAAAGAAACTCTAAACTATGGAGCCCTGCTGGTGACATCCCATATAAATAAAAAGAATACGTGGTCACTCCTTATTAACGCATGGGAACGAGATCCTAATGCATGGCCACGACTTAGCAAGGTGTGGGAATGAGATAATTAAGTTGTGGCCATGACTTAGTAAGCCATGGGAACGAGATCATGCTTTACTAAGTCATGGCCACACATTAGGATCTCATAGGATGTCCGGTCACCCCTGCTCAAATGACCTGTTTTGTTGATTTTGAAGTGAAAGTTAACACGTCCTCCACAGAGAACACATTTATGCATCATATATGAGTAAAACTGAAAGTAAGCGTACTGTTGCTGAAAGCTGAATTTGTGCTTAATTATAAATAAGTGTGTGTGAAATCAGTGTCACTTTTCTGCAACATTATGTTGCGCTCGCATCCGATACAACTGCTCCGTGACTGCCACGCCTCTCCATATTATTCAACCAAATATTGTTGCTCTGAATGATTCATTACTTGCCTGGAGTAAAGTCAGGTGTGTGACAGGTGCTTACCACCCTTACCTGCCTTCCACCTGTTCGTTTTATGGCTGCAAACAGGACACTCACTTTTACAGTTTATTTGAGAACAGACACAAACGCGTCTCACGCTGCTCTCGCAGCTTCTGTCCTAATTTTACTGCTTGCCAATTCCATTGCTGATCATGAGAAGCTTCTAGTTTGGGCTTTTTTCCATCATTATTTTCCTAATTTTTCACTGAGTAAATAATAAAAGCAAAGATGTAGCCGGAACTGACCATAATCTTCAATTTTGGACAGTACTTATGGCTAATTACTGTGTTTTGGTCTACATGCATCCATCCCATTAGGTCAATGCAGTGCAATGTAAAGTAGTTTTTAACGGAGAAAACTGGCTCACTCTGAATTGACTTCACATATTGAAGGATTACAGCTAAGACAATAGAACTGCAATAATGAGTTCATTAATTAGTCATTTAATGAGTTCAATCTTTGGGGAAATGTAGTGCTTTTTTCTTCCTCCAATAGATAAAATGCAAAGCCTAAAAAAAGAATCACCTATTATAATTGTGAGACATCAATCACCCGAGAACAATTGTCATCCTACAGTGTGAAAAACACAAATCCTCCTTTATTCCAGAAGACTGAGGAGAACTTTTTCTATTGGCTGCACCTCCAAGGGGAGGAGGGGGGGAGGTGGAGGCGGGGGGACTAAAAAAGGCAATCAAGGAACCTGGAGCAAGGCAAGAGAGAACCAAGAGGCAGGCGAGAAAGGATCTCAAGAGGGTTTTTTGGTCTAAGGCTGAATCCGGCTCGGCTCCAACTTGCGGAGTTTTGGATAACCGCTCTTCAAGCTATTTCACCTTTTTCCGCAACGTGAGGTCAAGGCCTATATCGAGGCCCGTAGCTTAATTTCCAGAGCTGCCACTTATTTTTCTTCTTAAGGAATGGCTGCAAACGGGAAACTTTTGAGCTGGTCAGACGTAAACGTGCCAAAACAACCGGAGGCTTTCCCTCTTTCCGAACACCCGAGAGTGGGCCGCAGTGACCCGAGAGGGTGGATGACCCCTGCCGGCCACCCATACACACCCAGCGGACTGCGCACAGGTCAGTAAGCGATAAAAATCGGTAAAAATCAGTAGCATGACTTCATTGAGTCAGTTGAATTTAAATAGTAAGGTAACGACAATAACAACACCTATCATGATGTCATAATGGAAGTTAACCAGTTGACCAGTAAAGCCGATATTTTATTATTATTGTGATAAATTACGTCATAATTCATTATTCTGAGGTATTTTCAGTACTTCTAGAACTGCATCTATCATAAAACGGACCAATTTAGACTGTAAACAACAACAACCAATTGAATGTCATCAAATTATATCATTATCTTGTTGTATTAATTAATTAATTTATTTATTTTACCTTTTGATTTACCTGCTGTTCCTTCTGAAGTTTATAATACAAATTATAAATCATTTATAATTATAAATAATACAAATAATTCAAAACTCACAGCCTTTTTAAAACATGACGCTACAGTTTTATGGCTGTTCCGAATGAAATATCGTGATACATCATAAAGTATCGTGATGTTAAATCTCGTTCTTATCACCTTCACAGTGTACGCACATGCCTCACTGGACGTCACCCTGGACAAATGCACTGGAAACGCCACTTCCGCAGTCCCTGCAGAAGCTGACACAGGGAGAGATAAAGGGCCAGGGGCCAAGCAACACCTGACTGGCCCCCAGAGGCACAGGCGAGTGGCGGCCAACGCCAGAGAGAGGCGGCGCATGCACGGGCTGAACCGCGCTTTCGACAAACTGAGGAGCGTCATTCCTTCGCTGGAGAACGAAAAAAAGCTGTCCAAGTACGACACGCTGCAGATGGCACAGATTTACATTGCCGAGCTGTCCGAGCTGCTGGAGGGCGTGGTCAGGTCCGAATGCAGGGGACAGAAAAGCCCCCATCGGTCCTTCCAGGCCGAGCGGATTGTAAGGACTTGCGCAACAGAGACGCCCTCTCCAGCTCCAGTGTGCCTCGCACGGGACGCCAGTGTCCCAGAAGGACGCCTGCTTATCCTGTCCGCTCCTACTGCCCACTACAGTCCGGAAAAGACGAATGAGGTCATCGCGTTGTCCAGTGCCAGCGACGGAGAGTCGTCCCACTTCAGTGACACCGAAGAAGGCCAGTCCAGAGGCTGCTGACCTTCCGAAGAGGGGGGAAAAGTGGAAAAGCTGTGCATACTGGTACTGTGATACAGGGGCACTCCAACACAATATCGTCTTATCTGTCTGTGTTTTAGTAGACATTAAAAGGGACCAAATAGAAGCACGTAGCTGTTTAGTAGCCTCCTGGATTACCCATGATTACCTGGCACGACACACAGAATGTTATACCATAACAAAGTTGCATTTCGATGTCTTTTCCAAGCCCTGTAGCTGCACTTTATTGGCTGAACAGAGCCTGCATTGTGATTTGCATATACCTTTGATTTAAGTCCACCACAAATGAATCAACTGCTATTTATGGATGTGATTTGTGTTTTTTTTATTATCATTATTATTATTATTATTAACTCGAAATTGTTTAATAAAAACTAATTTAATAGACAAAAAGCACTTGCTGGTTTCCATTTCATTTATTTACACCATACCTTGATTTAAACTGCAGATTCACAAAGGATAAAGTTACTTATAATAGAAGTCAACTGGCAGGTGCTGAAGTGCATACAAATACATTAGATGTCCAAAAGTCCGGTAAGCACCTGCTCATCCAGCATTTCTTCTGAAATCAAGGGTATTAATAGGCAGTTTATCCCAACTCTTCGTCCTCAGAAGCCTTTGCACTAGACATTGGAACATTGCTGTGAGGATTTGATGGCAGCCTTAGAGCATTAGGAAGGTCAGGTACTGATGCTGGATGATTAGTTGTGGATCACTCCAACTCACATTTAAAAAGTAATGGTTTGAGCTCTTTAACTCCAGAGAACCCAGTTCCACTGATTCACAGCTCAATGCTGGGGGCTTTATACCCCTCTAGCCAACCTTAGGCTCATGTGCAGCTGCTCCAGAGCATCCTGCTCTATTTGCAGAGTTTTTTATGGAGATTATACAAACTGTATGTGCGCATTTGAACACCTGTGTCACCTTAAAGTAGCTAAGTTCACTAGTTATCAAGGATGTCTTGACACTTCTTGACACAGTTTACATCGTAGCTGAACGGATGTAAGAGATACAGCAGACAGAGGTTGAGAAACACTGGAATACTCCTTTTAGCCTGGTAGAGAGAGCACTGAGAGTGACTCTCGCACGACCGTCTTATTTCCACATTGATGTGTGAAGCGTAAAAGCGAGAACAGTTCAGTTGTTGATCTCGCAGTAATCCACATCATCCATCTCAACGTCCAGTTTAGCCAAGCGTTCAGAGCTCCCTCCGTATGACCTGGGCGCGATCCGGGTCAGGTCTTTGAAGAGGACATTGGACAGCACTTGTTTGAAGTCGACGGAGATTTCGGGGGGGCTGATGGTGAGAGAATTTTGGTTGGGTGTGGTTTGATCTTGGCTGGCCTCCATGCTACATTTGTTCTCCTGTCTGTCGGGAGTCACTACTACACTGTAAACCGTCTCTGTGTTAGGAATGTCCTGCTGCACTTCAGGCACCTGCCTCAAGTTACAGTAGTCAGAATCAGGGTCTTCATCGGATATGCAAAGCTTATTTGTTTCCTGCTCTTCCTCTTGTTTCTGCTTGGGTTCGGGGGGGCTGTAGTTGGGCACAGGGGGCAGTTGGGGAATCTTCGGAGGTCCAGTTTTGACCCTGGGCTTTGGTTTAGGTTTTATGGTGGCGTATAAAACTTCTTCAGTGGTGTCTGCTGGGGGTTTGGTTCTCACTGCTGGGGGTTTGTTGAAGATTACTGGGGGTTTGGTGCTGACTGCGGGAAGTGCTGGGGGTGCTGGAGGTGCTGGAGGTGCTGGAAGCGCTTTAGGTACCGGAGGAGCCGGTAAAGCGAGATTTCTCCGAGAAAGCGGCGGGCAGGGTCTGTCCTTCATGCCCCTGGTTGGTGAACCCTGACCACCTTTCATCCGGTCATCTATCAATGGTCTTGGTGGAGGCTGCTGGGTTGTCGAATCTTGCATCTGAGAGGTTGCTTTGGACAGCAGGTCTTGAACGCTCTGGTGCATGATTGCCTCCTCAATGGCCCTGTAGATCTGAGTCCCCTGCTTGGACAGGAAAGTGAAGTGACCCTCCCCTGTGTGACAGCGACGGCCAGCCTCAATAGTGACCCCCCCCTGCAACAAGACAAAAAATGAAGGGTAAGATTATGCTTATATATAAACAATAAATTGTTCCAGGATCTGACTTTATTTTTACTGAGGAAAGTGGGTTACACTTTACAATAGTATATACATACATAACCCTTCATGACAACTGTCATAAACCTACATAAACATTTATAAACAAGTATGCCAGTAGGCATTATTTGACATTGGCTACATTTGCCAGTTCTGAAGTTGACATAACAGCTATGTCTGCTGACATAGATTTTTCTCTGGCATCACGTTGTATTATGACACTTTGTATCATGTATTATTTGTATTTGTATTATGTATTTGTATTATTTGTATTAGGTATCTTTCTAGAAATTACATCAACTCAATGTAAGTCACATAAGTCCTTACAGTCACTGTGATGTACACTAAGCTACAAAATCCAGTGTTTTTAGGCAAGTCAAGGCAAGGCAAGTTCATTATAGCACGTTTCATACACAAGCATTATGTTTTACATAAATAAAGCAAAAGGAACATCAAAGGGAAAAAATAAGAATGAAAAACAATAAAAGATACAAATGGACACAATGGATGTGTTTTAAAATTAGCTTATTAATGATAAAGTGCAGTGTGAATAAAGTGCAAGTTATAGAGCTCAATTATAGTCACATGAAAAAAAAATCTTTTTTAATCTGGATTTTAAAATTGCTGCATTTGGGGTATATCTAAGATCTTGGGGCAGTTTGCCCCAGTTACATGTAGCATACTAACCAAATGCTGCTTCATCATGTATAGTTTGGACTCTGGGCTCTACTAGCTGAACTAGAGTCCATGGATCTAAGAGGCCTACTCAGTTTATATTCTTTAAACATAGCAGAGATGTATTCTGGGCCAAAACCATTCAGTGGTTTATAGAGTAGGAACAGCACTATTATGTGCTATTTCACCCAAGAAACTGTCATGACAACCTAATGTCACTTGACAGAGCTGACAAAAGCAGCCTTTATGTTGGACAATACCTATTAAAAAAAAGCCAGTAACACTTTCTATAATAGCGATGTCTAAAAGAACCTAAGAACACATTCATAACATGTTATAATGCACTAATAAACGCATCATAAGCATGGCTATAAATATGTATTGCATAAAAATGTTAATAGAATGCATTGCGAGTAGTGTTCATATAGCAAGTTATATTGTGCCAAACAAACCCCCAGCTTGTACAATACATTACAACTAACAAACTTGCCTACTCATAAACACACACAGGATTTCTATATTTGGAATTATGGGTATATATTATTATTATTGATAGACATATGATGTTATAACCCCATTATAAGAGCTTGTAAGTTGTATTTGTCAGCTCTAAGTACAGTGAGGCCTACTACACCAAAGCCTCCTCCAATATTATGAGTGAAGCATCAAGTTGAGGTTTTTACTGAAGGATTCACTGAAACACTGCAACATATAAAGTAAGAGCTTAACTTAGCGGTGCCATCAGTAATCATTAGTAATATTTAACCCGACGTGGGAAAGTAAATGTACACCACTGTTAGCTTGGTGCTTACCTAACGCTGCACATCCAGTAGAATGCTCTGGTGGTTTCTGGTGGTTCATGTTAGAACCAGTCAGGAGCAAATAACAATGATGGCTCTCTACTAATTTGCCTCTCACTCTTAAGGCCTTCACTCCAGAATAACTTCATGCTCAGTGATGTCAGAGGGGGATTTCAGGGGAAAGGGCTGATGGGTACCTGAACTGCTGTGATGTAATGTAAATTTTAAAGTGAGACTGGTGAGTCAGCACAATGTATTAATAACTCTATTCTAGACAACTTGTTTGTGTGGGTGAGAAATACAAGTAGTTGGAAATGTCATGCTGTGAATAAACATCTGTGTCTCACTTTACTTAGAACTGACAAACACAGCTTACTAGTTCTTATAATGGGGTTAAAATACCATATGTTTATCATAATTCATACTCGGGACAAGTAATGACAAATTAATTCTGTGTGTGTTTATGACTAGGCAGGTTTGTTAGTCATGATGCACTCTGCAAGCTGAGACTGGCTTCTTTGGCACTGGCAATACAACATGTTATGAACACTACATAATGCATTGTATTAACAATCATAATGCATAATAAACATGGCTATAAAGTTTAATGCATTTTTGCATTTAAAGTTATGCTTATAAGGCCTTATGAATGCATTATAATGTGTTTCTAGATGCTCATAGACATGGTGCTCATAGAAAGAGTTACGAATAAGCCTTCATAAATGCTTTTGTAGGTTTATGTCAGTTGTCATGGTGAGCTTCTGTAAGTGTTTTGCATTCATTCTTGAGAACACTTTCTATGAATATCATCGTCTTTAAGAATCTATGAACAGATTTATTACACATTATAAGGCATTCATAAGGCATTATAAACATGTCCATATATATTTCTAAAATGCATTATGCTTATAATGCATTATGAATTGGTAACATCATGTATTCTGCATTATATACATAGTGCATAGTACATGCATAGTGCATTATAAACTCACACTGAGCCATGCTACAATTTATTTGAATAACTCATGAACTGAAATGGAATATTGGCTTATAGCCAGTTTTAATGTATTGTAAGAAGTAAATAGTCCTTGCATCTGTGGATACAGATTGTTATTGATAAAGATAGAATATTATAACTGCATTATAACAACATATAAGTTGCATTTGTGAGTATAAGTGACATAAATTACTTAAGAAAGGTTTATTTAAGCCATGGCTCAGTGTGTGTTTATGACTAGGCAGGTTAAAATGCATTTTTCAATTCATTATGAGACTAAATTCCTTTGTCACTGACAATATAATGTGTTATGAGCACTACTTATTATGGTCAAAATTAATAAAGGTTATAAAGTGTAATGCATTGCGAATGCATTATAATGCATTATAAATGTATACATAGTGTCTTTATTTATGCCACCAAAAACATATTAGTACATTAAATAGTAAAGCACAGAACAAATACAGCTATATTTATTATGCATTGGATATTCCATGGTGAAGGTGGGTCTAAATGATGGAAATGGAAAAAAATGATCAGGATGTGTAAATCGGGTTGGCCTATGTGTAAAGGACGGTTAAGCCTAACAGTGGTCAGTCTACACTATTAGAGATAGGATATTGACATTGCTTATCTGTATGGTCAGGGTGTGACTTATGTTTTGACAAACGATGAAACCAGTCATCTGATTATCATTGAGTCAAATGTATATTTATACACCATCCAGGAAAGACCTGCAGTCTCCACCCAGGAGATCGTCAGTGTTATGCATTACTTACTTACCTTAATCTGGCCAAATCTACGCAGAAACCGGTACGGCCAGTAGAACGCAGTCTTTCCAGTGTTCAGGTCCAGAAGGCACAGGGCATCTTTCTCTGGGGATAACAGGTACGATCCGGACATGCAGCACCGCACAGACGCCTGAGAGCTCAGCACTTTCACCTGGTATTGGCCTGCAGTCACAATGACATCCCTTTATCATATCACTGTATATAGACAAACCTCTAAGTGATATACTGTATGTTCCACAGATTTATCGGCATAAACACAAATCTTGCTGTAATATGTTAAATAAACATGAGAAAATGTCTGCAGAAGTGTATTCTCTAGAGGTTGAGTTAACTTATTTTCAATCAACAAAACGTCATTTAGCCACCTACAACTACCATTTTTGCCTACAACTGCCTACAACTGTATAAGTGGCTTAATATTTATGACATTTGAGTTTCTGTACAGTTGAATTTTGACAATTGGGAACTGAAAATTATATTTCATAACTGCCTATTATATAAAAGCACACCTTTACTACAATCTGCTTAATTTTTGAACATGTAAAATAATATCAGATGACAGTAATGATTATCCTAATTTTTAACTCCTTAAAATTGGTGATAATCTTCATGTTGATGGGGCCCAAATTTCTATACAGTGAAATAGAAAATTTAAAAACGTGGACTAAGCTTAGTCTAGAACTAAACCGTAATGTCGGTAACAGGTTACTTGAAGGGTGTCTAAATAACACATTCATAACATCTTACATAAACACTTCGTAAGGTGTTAATGTTAAAATCAACATTTATAAAGTCTACATGTTTTACATGATATTAATATGGACTACTATGTCTTTTACTGAGAGACATTTTTCAAAATAGAAGTCCTCATTTTTTATTATGGAAAAGTTTATTATTTTCAGTAAAATGCCTCATTTCTGGACAGCCTAAATAAAACTGACCTTGATATATCCCCTGGTCGTGCTTTGACACTCAGGCATGTTTCACCTATACTTTAGATTTCTTTCTAATAGTTTTTTCTCAATCATTTGTTGCTTTGCATGTCACTTTACTTACATGGACAGTAAATTACTCATAAATATGCCTAGGAACAATAATTCAAATATGGTGTGCCTAAGTGTCAAAGCACTTAATGACCAAAGGAGCATAGCAAGGTCATTTTTAGCTCAGCTATCTAGAAATGAGGTGTTTTACTGAAAATAATGCAGTTTTTCAAAATAAATTTTTTAAATTTATTTTGAAAAATTTCTCTCAGTTAAATGAGACAGTAGACCATATTAATATCATGTAAAACATACATGCTTTATGAATGTTCATGAGCATGTTATGAAGTGTTTATGTAAGCAGTTATGAATGTGTTATGTAGACGCCCTTCAAGTGTTACCATCAGCGGTGTTTCAACCTTACAAATCCTATCAAGTCCAAGCTTAGACTTAATCTGGGTCTGGGAAACAGGCCTAAAAATGAAAAGATCAAAGATTTGAAGTATTAGGAATATGAAGATGTGAACATGAATAACAAGGGTTTAACATGAGTTTAAGCTTAAACTAAACCCAATCGATGGTCAGTGTGTGACTGATTTTGGCCATACAACTGATTTCAGGTTGAAAAAGATGAGCACCTTTGAAGGAAAAACAAGCAGTGAGAGTCAGAGACGCTACATAAGTATAATGTATTATTGTTATTATTATTAAGCTGACGATCAACATGAATTCAGCTGCATCACTGATGGTATATGTGTGTAAGTGTCAATCACAGATTCCTTATCTTTCACTTTCCTTCTGGTAATGCGACTTATATAGTGTCATATACAGTGACTTCTTGATTTCTCTATCTCATACATACATCTCTTTGACTGCACCACAGGCAATGGAAACAAATGTTAAGACACATCCTCTTTGCAAGACACTGATAAGAATGAGGCAATGAGTTGCAGATGACAAACCCTTCTATACAGGCTCAAAGAATAGTGGAGAAACGAGGACTGTCATGATTAATCACTGAATTCAACGAATTAGTTTAAATAAAGAAACTTAGTGAAAATAAGCTAAAACATCCTGTATATAGAACACACCTACATATTTTAATGCACAATTAGCCTTTATCTGCAAAATTTAACATATTTGGTGAAAAGAAAACATCAAGTATGGCCTGTAAAAAGTTTACATTTTCTATTTTAAATATTTTTTCCAATATGTTAAACTCACAAATACACAGAATTCGTACACTAAAATTTGCAGAAAAATGCCATATTTAAGCTCCATGTAGACTTACACTTAGAAAATCAACAAAACATGTACCTTATATATACTTGTACTTGTAAATATATATACTTGTAAACTTTTATAAATCATTTTTAAACTTTGGATACGTGCAGTGCATTGGCAAAAGTATGTGGACACCTGACCATCACACCTATATGAGCTTGTTGAACATCCCATTCCAAAGCTATGGACACTAATATGGAGTTACTTCCTCTTTTGCAGCTACAACAGCCTCCACTCTTCTGGAAAGGCTCTCCACAAGATTTTAAAGTGTAATTTGTGCATACTAAGTCAAAAGAGCATTTGTGAGGTCAGACACTCAAGTTAGACGAGAGGGCCTGGCTCACACTCAACGTTCAAATTCATGCGGTCAATGAGGCTGAGGTCATGACTCTGAGCAGGCCAATAGAGTTACTGCACACCAAACTTGTTAAATCATGTGCTTACAGAGTTCGCTTTGTACACAGGGGCACAGTTGTACTGAGGCAGTAAAGGGCCTTCCACAAACTGTTGTCACAAAGTTAGAGGCATATATTTGTCTTAAATGTCTTTGTATGCTGTAGCATTAACATCACCCTTCACTGGAACTAAAGGGCCCAAACCCTGAAAAACAGCCCCAGACCATTATCCCTCCTCCACCAAACTTTACTGCAGGCACTATGCATTCCGGTAGGTGGTGTTCGCCTGGCATCTGCCAAACCCAGATTTATCACTCCAGAAAAACGTTCCCACTGCTCCAGAGTAAAGTTGCGGTGTGCTTTACACCACTCCAGCTGACACTTGGCATTGCGCATAGCAGTTTATGTGCAGCTGTTCAGTCATGGAAAACCATTTGATGAAGCTTCTGACACACAGTGCTGATTTTGCTTACAGAGGGAGTTTGGAATGCTGTAGTGAATAAACAGGCTATTTTTTCTGTGCTATGTGTTTCAGCACTAAGCAACCCTGCAAGAGACCATGCAAGAGTTTGCATGGTCTACCACTTTGTGGCTTAGCTGTTGTTGCTCCTAGATGCTTCCGTTTCACAATAATAGCACATACAGTTGACCGGGGCAGGTCTAGCAGGGCAGAAATTTCACAAACTGGCTTGTGGCAGAGGTGCCATCCTATGACAGTACCATATTTAAAGTCACTGACCTCTTTAGTATGACCTATTTTACCGCCAGTGTTTGTCTATGGAAACTGCATGGCTATGTGCTTGATTTTATACTCCTGTATGTCAGTCAGCTTCCTGACTTCTCGGTTCACTCCAGTCATCAGCATTGGAAGTTGCACATTACTGCATCCATTTATTGAGTCTTTTAAAGACGTTCTAGTTATTTTTTTCAGCCAATCTTTCTAAAAGACTATGCATAGTTTGAGTTAAGTTCATTATTATTGCTTGGGCACTTTTTCAAACTCTGATCACTCAATTGATAATGAAAATAATCGGTAAATTACTCAATTCCTACTATAATCAGTACTGACTTAAGACACGAATCAAGTGCAAAGAGCAGACTCCATTAGCTGAAGGCGTGGTCTTGGAAACAGGTGCGGCCACAGCTCACCTGGACTCCAGGTGGAGTAGAGGTCGTTGTCAGACATGGACGTGTCGTCTCTCTGCGTTCTCTTCGAGTCGCCGCCCCCCTCGTTCTTCTGAGAAACAGAGAGACAGTTAAAAACGGTGCACACAAGCAATTCCTCTTTTCTCTTACCTTTTGTTGTTTTTTTTATGATATCAGTGTCCTTTGAAGAGCAGCCAAAAGTGATCTTGTGCAAGCATACAGTGAGATGTAAAGAAGAGATGCGGGTTATCAGCACTTCCTCATTCGACAGGTTCAGTTATTGCGCAGGAACTCGGCGTAACCCACCCTTCCCCCGATGCACTCAGCATAACATGGGATCTAAAACTTACTGCTTTATTATTATAGCCTATGAAACAAACCCCTTCACTGATGTGATTTTGCTCGTATGCTTGTGTTTGTCGGATTGACTGGGGCTGTTCTGGGGCCCTGTGCTACCGGGTACCTCTGCTAAGGATCAGGTTTGTTTGACACTGGCACAAATAGAAGAGGAAATTGGTCTAAGATCACCACTGCTACTCTGAGACTATTATCAGCCCTCATGTAATTAAAGGAAGACAGCATTTTTCAAACTAATCTTTATTTGCCGCATTTGTAGCATATGGTCAATTAGTTTGGACAGTAACTGACTCAAAACTCATTTGCAATAGAGAAGAAAGGCTGTAACACCTGCCAATTGCCTTCTATTATAAGCATGTTTGGAAAACAGGCTTATAAAAGGCTTATGAAAACAGGCTTTCTGCTTCTGGGAAGTTGTGACATCCTCAGTTTTGGAATTGAGTTAATGCCACTGTGACATCATCAGTACAACCCTCAATAAAATGTAATTGATGCCATTGTGACATCATCAGCTGTGAAATGTAATCGATGTCATTGTGACATCACCAACAGCACCCTTTGTAGAACTTAACTGATGCTACTGTGACATCATCAGTGGATTCAGTAGAAGCGAACTGATGTTATTGTGACATCATCAGTGGATTCAGTAGAAGTGAACTGATGTTATTGTGACATCATCTATAGAGCTCTGTATTAGAATTCGGCTGATGCCATTGTGACATCATCAGTACAACCCTCAATAGAATTGAAGTGATGCTATTGTGACATCATCAGTAGATCCCTCAGTAGAAATGAATTGATGCTATTATGACATCATCTGTAGAGCCATCTGTAGAATTCACTTAAGGCCATTATGACATCATCAGTTGTGGAATTTAATTGCCGTCATTGTGACATCACCAGCAGCACCATTTGTAGAACTTAACTGATGCTATTGTGACATCATCTGTAGAGCCCTCTGTAGAATTCAGCTGATTCCACTGTGACATCATCAGTTCTGGAATTGAATTGATGTCATTGTGACATCATCCTCTGTAGAATGTAACTGATGCTATTATGCCATCATCAGCAGAGCCCTTTATAAAATTTAACTGATATCATTGTGGCAACATCACCTTTGGGATTTGATTGATGTCACTGTGACATCATCAGCAGAACTCTTAGCAGAGGTTAACTGATGCCATTGTGACATCATCGGTCCTGGAATTTAATTGATGCCATTGTGACATCACCAGCAGAACATTTAGCAGAGTTTAACTGATGCCATTGTGACATCATACATTTTGGAACTTAATTAATGCTCTTGTGACATCACCGACAGGATCCTTAGCAGAACTGAACTGACGCTATTGTGGCATCATCAGTTCTGGAAGTGAACTGATGTCATTGTGACATCACCAGCTCAGAACCCTCAGTAGGATTTAACTGATGCAACTGTGACATCAGCTGACATTTCATTCACACCAATGTCTGGAAGGGTAAAGACCTCTGTAGTGGCAATTTGTTAATGCTTTAATGGTTCCTTAATAGTGCCCCCACCTCCTGCTCCAGGTGGAGCCTTTACCTGAAAGGCCAGCTGGCAGAGGGTGGGCACCCACTCGTCCTGCTTGGGGCCTGCCAGCGTGTAGGTGCGCTCGGCGGTGTTCAGGTAGAAAGCGGCGCACTCAGTGGGGCAACTCTCCCCTGGGGCTGGAGTGATGCTAAGACAGTCAGCCAGCCGGACCACCCGCTTGTCGACCTTCTTCAGCCCCGCGGGCTTAAGGGGGGACACTCCGTCTCGCATGTCGTACATCTCTATTCGACCGATCCCCGTGGGACTGGGCTCAAACAGGATCACCCAGGTCTTCCGCCAGATCCTCTACAAAGAAGCACGAACAAGCACACCAGTTAGCACTGACAGATCCAGGGGAAGGAAAGGCTTTACGCTTTAATTCAACACCTTACGACATCAAACAGCCTGGTTCCGCAGCCTCTCCATCGAGACCGGTTAAGCGCTTGAGGTGAGCAGCTGAAAGGCAGGCGGCGTTGGGGAACATCCAGCTCCGCCCGCTCCCACATGCATGATTCATGCCCTTTAAACGCTATCATGCAAATGGAGGCACCTCAGGTGCCCAAACAGCCGCAGCTTTTCCTGTCATCAATAATGCAGCGTGTTAATATCAACCTGATGCACGCGCGTTCTCAAGGATAGTCCTTAATAATTTAGCAGTACTTTAATTTTGGTGTATTTGTGCAATGGGTAAAAAAATCTACAACAGTGTATCAGATCGTATATAAAATCACAGCCATGCATGGCCAAAAGTATGTGGACAACCCTTCTGATCGATTCATTTGGCTATCTGAGTTGCACGTTTTGCTGACAGGTATAGAAAAGGAGTTCCAAACTGCATCTAGAACCAATGTCAGCACAATAACTGTTTATCGGAACCTCAATGTGATTACTTACAGTGTAATAAATTACAGTATAAACTTTTGTAATTATATTACAGTTGCATTTGTTACTTCTTCAATTATAGACTGTAGTCCATCTGTTGTTCTGCATACATTATTAGCCCCCTTTTACCCTGTTCTTCAATGGTCAGGTCCCCCACAGGACCACTATTTGGTTGGTGGATCATTCTCAGCACTGCAATGACATGACGTGATGGTGGTGTGTTAAGTGTGTGTTGTGCTGGTACGAGTGGATCAGACCCAGCAGTGCTGCTAGAGTTTTTAAACACTATGTCCACACACTGTCCACTCTATTAGATACTCTCCTACCTTGTTGGTCTACCTTGTAGCTGCAAAGTCAGAGATAGTAGCTCATCTGTTAATGCACAGTTTGTGTTGGTCAGCCTCTCGTCCTTCAACTGTGGTCACAAAAAGCTGCCCTCAGGCCGTATATTTTTAGTTGGTGGACTATTCTCAGTCTAGCAGTGACACTGAGGTGTTTAAAAACTTCATCAACACTGTGGTATATGGTTCATGCAAAACACACCACCACCACCACCACCTCAGTGTCACTGCAGTGCTGAGAATGATCCACCCAAACATTACCTCTGTGGTGGCCTGCAGCAGTCCTGACCATTGAAGAACAGGGTGAAAGGGGGCTAACAAAGTATGCAGAGCAACACATGGACTACAGTCTGTAATTGTAGAACTAGAAAATGCACCCATATGGTAAGGATCAACTTGGTGGAGGAGATATAATGGTCTGGGGCTATTTCTCCTAGATAAGGCCCAGTAGTTCCAGTGAAGGGCAATCTTATTGCAACAGCATACAGACTTTCTAGAGAATTGAATACTTCCACCTCTGTGGCAGCAGTTTTGTAAAAGGCCCTTTCCTGTTCCAACATGACTGTGCTGTCATGCTCAAAGTGATCTCCAGAAAGAAACGATTAGCTGAGTTTGGTGTTGAACTTGACTAGCCTGCACAGAGCCCTGACCTCAATCCCATTACAACACCTTTGAGATGAACTGGAATGCCGTCTGTGAGCCAGGCCTTATTAGCTACCTTCAGTGGCTGACCTCTCTAATGCTCTAGTGGCTGAATAGTAGTGAATGCCTAAAGATATGTTCCGAAATCTACTGGAAAGAAATATGAATACCCATCGTTTTGAAATGAAATATATATAAATTAAACTTAAAAAATGTAAGGTTTTAGTTAGGGGTGGGCAATATGACAGTGTATTGTTATTATCATGATAAATATGTCAAGATACGCTTTTTTTTGAGTATATCATGATTATCAGTACTTTGTCAACACCTTTGTCCGTACTTTTACAACACTGAACAGCTGCATGTACAGGGACAGGATGTAACGGAAAACATACATAATCATAATACAGAATTAATATTATCCGACATCCAAATCTGCATTCAGTCCAAGCTACATTTTTAAAAGGCAGTAATCCGAATGCAGTTACCTTTTAAATTTTTAGAATACTTTTACTACATTTAAAAACTACATGCCATCTTTAAAAAAAACACCACAGATGCTAGTTTATTATGTTAAAAACAAGTGCATAGTATGTAAAGTACCCTATAGAAGAACTCAATAAACAGCTTCCGTACAAACCCTGTAGTTCCTGCTAAAGCCTGACTGGACTGATAAATCGATGTGATGATCAGTTATGAATCTAGCATTGCTAAACTGAGGGATGACTAAACAGAACAGCCTCTTCAGCAGTAGATATGTTCAGGACTGATTGATAAGCTTAGTGTCTATGTTGTGCTGCACTTGTGCATACATTTTGTGGCAAGTTACATACATGGCATTCACTGAAAATCACACGAGAGTTTTTCTTGAAACTTATTAACGGAACAATTAAATTAAGAAAACTGCCAACCAAAAACAGAGAGGAACAGTGTTGAATTAAATACAAATTACAACCGCAGTTTTTTCCCATCTGCCTCATCAATATGTATTCTGAATATATTGCTTTATGTATTATCATAGAATACGTTACTGAATACATTTAGAACAATGTATTACGTATCCAGCCATCACTCCTTTTTCAAAGTATTCTGCCCAACCCTGTGCATGTATCATAAAAAAGGTTTAGATATAGATCAGTTATAGAGAAACAACTACTGTGTAGTAACTGCATTATAACTGCATTATAACTGCATTGCAAGTAACTGATTGGCTGTCAACCAACTTTTTTTTCATGCAGCAGATTAAGTTGAAAAACATCTACTGAAATGTGGCTCACATGCATCTGACTCACTTCAGAAGCTAGTTATCAGGCTTAGTAGGTGTCTGATCAGGGAAATTACCAAACTGTGTAAGCTAGTCTAACGTCAGCCAGTCACAATAATCTCTAAACGCTCCTGCATCTATCACTTGCTGTGAGAATGTGGGTGGAAGTAAATCATTCAGCATTATTAGACCAATAAGAAATGTGAAAAGATGTTACTGATCTTTTGGAGGTTTGGCGCTGTTGTTCATTCATCCCTAAAGTTGAAAAAGTTCTAGATTAACCTTTGTGGACCTTTACAGTTCAGTGGCAAACCTATTATAAGGCAGGCAAGTTCAATCTGGGATAACATCCTTACAAAAATCATTTCTAAATGATGCCTAATGATAAATAACATGACAAAAAATGTCAAAATCACTTAGCGAACATAGTTAGCATTCATTAGCTTAGCTGTATAATGGATGCTAGACTACCAAGTAGCCTGAAATTAAAGTCTGGTGGACATAGCAACAACAGCTAAAAGAGGCAGGACTTGGCAAACAGTCAATTTCCATAGGAAACCCTTTCAGTAGCGATATGAGTTTTTTTTTTATGTGATTCTAGAATTATTGATGCGGTTTTGGAATTAAATTGATGCTATTGTGACATCACCAGCTGAACCCTCAGTAGAATTTAATTGATGCTGTTGCTATATGTGGAACATCTGCACTGTTGGTGCATGTTGTTTATTCCAACTTGTTCTCATTGTGCATCATAAAAAAAATGCCTTCATGTATTGTGATGTTAGATTCTGGCTATAATCATCCATGCTTAGTTTCAGTACATCTGCTTGAAACCAGGAAACATTAAGCTTTAACCTCTTATTCACCTCTTATTCAGGCAAATTATTCAGTAACTGCATGAAATAAATTGCTGCTAAATGAAGTAAATTTTTATTTTATTCTATTTTTTAAAGCTTCCCTCAAATTAACTGAACATGTGTTTCATGATCATACACATATTGCTATATGCTTACAATTTACTGCTGAAAGCCAAAAATCTTAGACGCTGTGTATTATTTTATAAAAATCATTTTTACAGAGCAGATCACTGAAGAGACGCCATCTGTTTATAGTTTATAGCCCAGATTTGTGGAAAAATCGGTCGACTTTTAGTAGACAAAAAATTGTGAGTTCAGCTTCTTTTATTATTAGGGTTTAAAATTACATCACCCATCTATTTGACTGGAAAGAAGACAGTTACAGCTCTCATACGACACCCACCTTTTGAATGTAGCTTATGAAATATGAAAGCTATGAAGAATATGACGAAGTGCGTTTTGGAACCACCGGTGGTCCCAAGGAGTTAAAACTGTATTAACGTCTCTAAAATCATGACATGAATTCAAGCACATATGAAACTGTTAAACAAACACCCAAAAAGAATTGCTGGTTCATGTTTACCAAGTTGGCCAATGCAAAGAGGAAGACTTGCTCAGGTCAAAAACCACAGTAGATGGACACCTGAACGGTGAAAGTTGAAATGAACTATATGTGAACCCAACCACCGCGCTTTTGTAAGGTGCATGGAAGATGAATTTAGGAATTTATTCTTTATGCGTGGTTCCAACTGTAAAGCATGGCGGAGGCAGTGCATGGACTGGGGTTGGTTTGCTGGCAACAGCTTTACCAAACTCCTGACAGTCTTAACCATGGCCATCACATCTGAGATCACAGCTAACACATATAATTACTCAAAAGATACCTAATTTGTTGGTGAGGGAACATGAAGGACAAATAAAACTAAAGATCTGGCCTCTCCAGACTCCAGGCATTAGTGCCATAAGTTTTGTATAAGACTGGACAGAGAAGTAAAAGAAAAGCAACATATTATTGCCCCGAATATATTTACTAACTGGACGGCTCATTTGAGAAACCAAGACTTGGAGTCAGTTTCACAACTTTCAAAGCTTTTAAAATGTAAACACTTAATTTGCCAGCTTTATCAAGCAGATTCAAATACAAAGATTCTATAGACCTTTATATGCCATTTCTCTGGGCAGTAGATGTGTTTTTGTTTAAAAAAAAAACATTAAAATAAATACAAATAAACAATACATTACAATTCGATGCGCAATCAGTCCTTCATTATATTAAATCAGGTGGTGATGGAATTCAACAAATCCATGCAATAGCTAGTTTAAGCCAAAACGTCAGGAACCAAACCTGTGTTCTTCTAAGCAACATATTGAAATACAATTTTTTTTTTAATCTTGCTCCATTTTACTGGGTTTGTTTATATGTATTTCCTCTAATGTCTAACGTCATAGTGTTTTAACGTCGCTGTCCAACAAAAAACAAGTATCTCCAAAATAGTAACTTTACAGGAGAGGGCAAAAATGCTCTTTACTTTCAATGTAAGTTAATGGAAAAAGTTTTTATTCTAAGCAGTTTTGGAGCATTTCTATTGGTCCAATCATCATGAAATGTGCACACAATGTAAAGGACAGCTGCTGAGCTCAAATGATTCAGCAAAGTAAAAATTGCAAGAAATAGAGATACGTTTTTCATTGGACAGCGACGATATGCAAAAACAAACCTACTCTCGAGTATTGAGTTTAATTTAAAAGACCTTTGCACAGTACTAGCATACTTTGTCTCCCCTCTAATTAAGCTAAATATTAGAAGCTATTAAGTAAAATCAAATACTCACTTTTCCAAATTTGACCCCCTGTATAAACAGGGAGCCTTCTTTTGCAACCACATCCATAGCACAGCTTCACTCCACGTCCTTCAGCTCTGGTTCTCAGAGACACTTGACAGCGCAGCAGCGGGTGAGGGGAACTTCAGCACTGCGTCACAAACAAGTGGCCAAAAATGGTCGCCTGAGTTTCCGCTAAGCCTTGCACATCTACAGCGCACACAAATTGCGCCACACACCAGCCACCAAACGGGTACATACCGCATCCCTTCTTGATGATGTTCGGCTTGGTCAAAAAACATGTCAGAGAAAGAAAGTGTGAAACGAACAAAGCTAATCCTCTGTACCTCAGTAACAGGGCTGAGGATAAAGCGTGTAAGCTAAAAGAAGCATTTTCAACTGAGAATCACAGTTTCATCTTTACCTTTTTGCTGTGCAAAAGTCAGAATCTACCTTTCATTTACTGAATTTCCAGTCAAAACAGCCATGAGGTGCAAAATGTTCATTTTTCAGCATCAGAAAAAAAGAAAACGTTAACAGAAAATATCACATTCTTTGCCTTTATTACAGCTTTCATTCGTTTTTCAAAGACATCTGCAGGGATATTTTTCCACACCTCCAAAGTTCAGTCTTAGAAGTTGGTTGTTTTCTAAGTCTCACGATACATGAAATCTCAAATACATTCAGTGATGTCTGGACTCTGGGGTGGACAGTCCATTATTCTGAGAACACCAGAAGCTTCTGTGTTCAATTTCCAAACTTTCTTCCCTTTTTCTTTTCTAAGTGACGTAAACATAAAACACTTTTATTTAATGGCTGCTCTAAATGGAAATTAAATAAATAAAGGGTGGTATCTGACTTTTGCGCAGTACTCTATAAACAAAAGCTAAAATGTCTGGAAGATTTAACTACTGTGCAGAAGATCTGTATACACAGAGAATGAGCTTTATCTTCATTTTAATGACACAATAAATTCTGTACTTGTAAGCTACAGAAGGGGTGCTTTATATCAAAAAAAGAACATTTCTCATTGTGGACACAGGAAAGGACTGAATATTAAAACAAAAAAAAAGACAGCTTCTAAAATAAAACTGTCAACAGAAATTTAAGTACTCTTAATAACAACAAAGCAATACATCGGTTCCCGTCCTATTCCTATGCAGCATGAAAAGAATGCACGTCTGCGCATGATCCACTGCTGTACGTCTATAAAAGTCTGCAGCAATGAAATTCTTTCGTGTATATTTTCCCGACCAGCAGCTGAGTTCTGCCAACAGAAGAAGCCATTCCTCATCCATAAAGAAACAAAGTCCAGGTAGCAGGCAAGTCCAAAGCCTTAGAAGTCCATGGAGCTGTTGGCCAAGCAGTCTCTGCGGCTGATGTTGGTCACCTGCTTGGTCTGCATGGCCTCCAGCTTGGGACAGTCTGTGATACGATGACCCAAACCACCGCAGAACGCGCAGCCTCTCTCGCCTTGATAGAAAAAACATGTGGTCACATTTGGTAAAACAAGAACGCCATAGCAGTCATAAGTAAACCTTGTTTCTCCTATATGAACCTTGTTTCTCTCCACTATAATGTACGCAATGTTATGAGATTTTGATCTACTAATTTTAAAATATTTCTAATGGTCAATCTTCATGAAATGCTAACACAATGTAAATAGAAGCTGTAATGCTCTGTTGGGGTAAAGAAACCTTTAGTCTTAATTTTAAAAGAAGTTATGAAGTTAATAAGACAGCCACTAAATAGTTTAAAATTCCCATGGAGCTGTTAGGGAGTGTGATTAAAGTCATGAAATGCTCACCTCCGATTTCCAGCATGGCTTCGTCCCCTGTCTGGAGGACCTGCAGAACAGGTGGAACTTTCTGCTTGGCTTCAACCAACAAGGCCTTCAGATCCATCAGCACTGACTCTTCTGCAATGAGAAAAGGACACGGAATCAAACACTGCATTCTGAACGCATCATCACACTGGCTACAGCCCAGTGGTGAACAGTAATGAAGTACATGTACTATTGTATTTTTTTCAAGAATACTTTATTAAAGTATTTCCATTGGTTTTATGTTTTACTTTTATTTACTAAATTCCTAAGTAATCAAATAATCACTTTCAAAATCATAGCAAACCAATCACAGCACACTTTTCAATAAACCTCGCTCCTAATTACTGATTGTCCAGTCATAGCTTAGCAACTTTAACAAGGCTTGGGCACCTCTGACTAGCTTTAAGAGTTTATCCACTAGCATTGTGTGAGGCATTTTTGAATAGCATAGCCGATTTTCTAGGAGTTTGGATGGGAGAGTTAAATTTTACCCAATTCTAAACCCTCTTGTTTTCTTTAAATTTACTAACATCATTTATTCTTGGGATCAAACTGACCTTGGCAATTTAAACCACCAGGAAATATCAAGTTCTTATGGGAACTGTTTTCCCCTCCCCCATGTCTTGTGAAATATCAGACAGGTACGGTTATGTTAGATTAGGGCTCTAAAGCAGAGGGATTTTTTTTTTAAGATTACAAAATTGTATGTTATAATGACCTTAATTATCACTCAAAACAACTAAAACAAATATGTGTAAAACGTTGATATTTCTTATGCTTCATACAGTTAAAACAGCCAAACTGACCCCAAAGAACACCAATGCATAAAAAAATGTGTACAGGACACTGAAAATATATTACCATGTTAATTTTAGGTTAATGCAGTTGACCCCATAAAATTAGGAACAGTCATTAAATATGAAGCAAAAAAAAAAAATTATGTTTATCATTTATTTAGAAACAATGAATGGGGTCAAATTGACCCCAAAGATAACAGGAGGGTTAAACAAAAGACACTGGCAGAAACACTGTTACACTATAATATTTTCATACGTTACTCTATAATAGCTAGATCAACTCTCAGTGGTATTACTTTTGATATATCAGCACATTTAAAGGACTTGTGTCATGGAAAACAAAATCGCCTTGCCATTTTTTTTTTTTAAAGAAATGTAGTATGTAAACATTGCTTAAGTTTCAAAATGTAATATTTACCCCGCCCCAGTTCACACAGTCCATACATAGAAACTAAACTGTAGAAACAGCTTGTGCTGAATTTGTTGTTTTGGTGGTGCCAAATATATATCTGCATATTTAGCTTACGGAAGTTTAGCCCTCCTGTTCAAAATTAGGTTTCTGGTACATAAAACCACACAAATGTTATAAGTAGACCGCAAGGACAAAAATAAAATAGGAAGAATTAAAAGCTAGTATTTTTGCACTTGAACTCTGGTAGAAATATAAATAGAGGACTCTGTAACCTTGTTTGATTAGCATCTTTTCCTCACAGTGGAAGAAAATAGCCTACTGCTACACAGTCTAACCCAAGGACTCTTAATGGTACAGTGTGGTGCAATTTGCCTGGACAGGGAACTGAAGCCTAGTCTGCCACACTTAGTTATAACACAAATAATAACCATTATCCATTAACCGTCCATATAACAACTGATGATTTCAGTGTATATTAAGACTTTCTTAAACAACACAACGGTACATTTGGTCACTGCTATCACAACAGGAAACTGTAATATGTCCCATAACTACAGTATTCTGATTTTATTTGGAGTGGCCAGTCGAATGATCTGACATTTCTTGTGATTGCACTTTCATTCTTACCGCATCCCTTATTGATGAACGTTGTGGCTATTCCAGTCTTGCCCGATCGACCTGTCCTACCAATTCTGTGGACTGTGGAACAAGTACAAACATGCATGTTATGTATTCAGTGTAAACAAAAACAATACTAGTGATTGAATAACTAAACACCCGAAAACATACACAATCAAAAGAATCAGCAGTCAAGCAAATACTGTGCACTGGAGCTATGATGGTAAATCTCACCATAGTTCTCAATTTCTTCGGGCATGTCGTAGTTAACCACATGCTGGATAGCAGGGAAATCCAAACCCTTGGAAGCCACATCAGTGGCAACCAAAACATCTTTCTTCCCCTCCTTAAATGCCTCAATGGCTTTCGTTCTCTCCTCTTGGTCTGTAAAACAGCAAGTGGTTTTTTTAGTGTTTTCAAAAAGCAGAAGAAATACAGATACTCATAACTCATGACTTCAATTCTCATGTCATTAATCTGACATCAAATAACTGATGTATATTTTATTACTAAAATTCAAGATAAGGCTTTAAACATATTTAAGAATATTTCATCATTAAATTATATATATATTAATGATGAAATATTCTTATATATATATATATATATATATATATATATATATATATATACACATATATATATATATATATATATATATATATATATATATATATTTATTATTACTTGTTACTCGACCAAGTTTAAAGGAGCTTTATGGTACCTTTGCCTCCATGGATAGCCACTGCCTCCACACCTTTCAGCAGCAGATACTCATGTATGGCATCCACGTCTGCTTTCTTCTCAGCAAATATTAACACCTAGCAGTGAGGGACATGTGGAGTTAGTTACATAAGCTTGTGTGTACAAGGTCATCTGAAAAAAATTCTTTATGAGAACTTCACTAATTCTCTGCACTCTCAAAAAAGAAAATTTTCCTGTCAGATTCAGTTCAGAGACATGTACTATTAACTGAATATTAAACTGCCACCGTGTTCTTGGGCTATGTTTAATCAGACATTTTCAATTCTGATTTAAAACCACTTTCAAATATATATTTGCTGTCAGAAAAAAACACTTGTATCTCCAAAATGCTCACTTTACAGAAGAAAAAAAAAACATTCAGGACCTTCAATATAATTTAATGTAATTTTTTTGATTTTTAACTTCAGACAGTTTCTGCAGCTGGTATTTTCAAAAAATGTCATAAAGACAGAAGGTTTTGTTTCATCAGCAATGATCCACTGGCATTTCATTTTACTAGACCTGCATTACGTTTACAAGAAGCTACATATTTTGGAAAGCTCATTATTTAGTGCTGTTTGTTAAATGTTGCGCTGACTGTGTTTCTGGACAGGCTGGTTGTGAATGAGTTCAGCTGATTTTGTGCTGTTTATCTCTGGGTTGATGCACTTGATATTACAAGAAACAATTAAGGTTATCACAGGAAGAACATTCTTTTCATCAGTTAGATTATGAATTAACACAGGCAAATATAGCTAATGAATAGTGGGATGGCACAGAGGGCCATTACCAGTATCTCACAGCGGAACAGGAAAGCAGCAGAAGCTCCCCTTCTGCTATCATAGTTACACTGAGTAAATGCATATTTTTGAACAACAATAAACATAAATTCTCTCTTTGAAATACATGAATGTGAACGTCAAAGATGCCTTAGCTTGGCTGACAACTGGAGTGACTGCTGTTTAGGTAGCTGACTAATGTGTGGCAGTACATTAAAATTAAAACTTCTGTAGCCTTAGTGTACAAGTTGACTGACTAAACTGGCTACCCCCCCCCCGCCTTCTGCCCTTTGGCCCTGCGGTTCCTCATGCTGATATCCAAACAAATTGTGTGCTTTCATTTCATCATTTCTTTGTAATAACAGTAACTTCCTGTTTTTTATCATGCTCCTGTCCCCTTGCACTTTGTGCAGGTTTTCTACATCTCTCTCTAGCTAGTTTTCACAGTTTAAGTTTCTTGGTTCTTTTCATCATGCTTTTTTAGTGTGACTGGCCAATGGCCCTACACAAAGAACGCAGTGGGGCCACTAACATGTCCAGATATGTGCACTCCAGTGTTTGTCCGGCACATGCCGTTTGTCCCAAATGGTATCGATTCATTTTATACAGGACACTATATATACACACACACACACACATTAGAAACGACCATGTATTTGTCTCTTTCTCACTCCCTCAGTGGCCCACCAGGAATCATCCTAGTGCTCTCGATGGCCAGTCCAGTCCAGTCCATGTGAACAACCAAACAAAAAAAAAACGACTTGAGTAATATATGAGAATTGGGCTATTTTTACCTGCAGTCTGAGGGTAATACTGGAGGATGTATATGTGGAAGAATCAGAAAGTTTTGTCATACTTTTTAATGGTTTTGTGGATAGAGAAGTCAACTGTTGCGTTGTACTGACACTTTCAGCAACCACAGATGTTGACCATGCACTGACAGAAGTTGTTTGGCATAAAAATGCCAACTTTACTAATAACGCAGCTAGAAAAGTCATTTAACAATTAAGTGTATGCTGAATAGTCACTGCTGGCACACATTCATTCCATGCCTCATCAGTGATCCTTGAAGACACAGTTTTAACTAAAGTGAAAGGATGTCAATGCTACATACTGGAGGTGGCGTCTTCTGTAAACACTCCAGAAGATACACCATTTTAGCTTCCTCTTTGACATACTCCACTTCCTGTGGAAAAAAAAAAACAAGAAAAGCAAGATGTTATGCTGGATAAAGCGTGAGAGACTAACACATTCACTCCTACACTACATGCAGACAAGAATTCTCAGCTGTACAATCTCTGCGGCAATCTGTACATCAAGTTATGCTACAACTCCACTCACGACTCAAATCCTGGAGTGTCAAGGATCAGCATTTCCCATTTAAAATCACTTAACTGCCAAGCCTTGCATGAGCCAAATCAGGTGTGTTCGTACAAAGAAACTTTTAACTGCTGTCCCTTTTACTGGCTGTGTTACAGCCCCTGTGGCAAGCCTCAGAAAGTAGGGCTCTAAGTAGTGTGTAAAGTAGGGCAGGGAGGTACAGTGTCCTCCACAAATATTGGCACCCCTAGTAATTAAGAGCAAAGTGAGCCGTTAAAAATATTCTTACTTACGGATCCTTTTGAGCTTTCATTCAAAATATCAGCGTGAATTTAATCTTAATTAAAAGGTATAATGATTGAAAGAAGAAAACTAAATGTAATGAAAAAAATATTTTTTCCAAAACTATATGTGCCACAATTATTGGCACCCCTAGAAATTCTTAAGAGTTAAAACTAAGCGAAGAGCATTCCTATTCATATTTTATGTTTTAAGGTTTAACTGAGTTATAAAGAACACTTAAATGGTCAGTCTTAACGTCCTGTGTCAGTAGAGAATATATATATATATATATATATATATATATATATATATATATATATATATATATATATATATATATATATATAGAGAGAGAGAGAGAGAGAGAGAGAGAGAGAGATGAAACTAAAGGTCAACTTCCCTCAGTCACCCTTCTTTACTATGATCAGAGAATAAAGACCGGAGAATAAAGCACTGATGTACGACAAGAGGTTGTTGAGCTGCACAAATTAGGAAATGGCTAAAGGAGAATAACCCAAACGGTTGGAAATGCCCATTTCCACTACCAGAGCTATAATTCAGAAATTCAAAGCAAAAGGAGATGTTAAGAATCTGCCAGAAAGAGGATATATGTCTATACTGAACCCACACATAGTGAGGAAGATGGTTTGAGTGGACAAAGACTCTCCAAGGATCACAGATGGGAAATTGGAGACATTAGTTAGGTCTTGGGGTCAGAACACCTCCCAAACCACAATCACACACCACCTACATAACCACAAGTTGTTTGGTGTGGTTGCCAGAAGGAGGCCTCTGCTGTCAAGGATCAACAAAATCAAGTGCCTATAATTTGCCAAATGTTGCTGGAACTTTCAGGGGGGGCATGTTGTGTGACCAGATAAAACCAATACACATGGACACAAAGATAACCATGCAAAAAAGCACTTCATACCCACTGTGAGGTATGGTGGTGGATCTGTTATACCATGGAGCTCTTTTTCTTCCAAAGGCCCTGAACAACTTGTTTGGATTCATGGTCTCATGAACATCAAGTACCAGCAGATATTCAATCAAAACCTGACTGCTTCAGCTAGGAAGCTTAAACTGGGCCATAGTTTGGAACTTCCAGCAGGACAATGATCGAAAGCATGTTACAAAATCAACACAAAAATGGTTTACTGCCTGCAGAATTCAAGGTTCTGCCATGGCCACCCCAGTACCCTGACCTAAACCCCATAGAAAACCTGTAAGCTGAGCTGAAGAGAAGAGTCCACAGTGTGGACCTCAGAAGTCTGAAGGACATGGAGAGATTCTGTATGGAGGAATGGTTTCAGATCACTTGCCACATGTGCTTCAGTCTCATTATGCATTATAGGAGAAGACTCAGAGCTGTTGTCTTTGCAAAAAGAAGCTGCACAAAGTATTAAATGAAGGGGTGCCAATAATTAATGCGAAAATGATTTGTTTATCGATAAGATTTTTTACTTTTTCAAATAAAAGTTCGATTTTTGTTAACATTATGAGACTGCCATATGTCCAATTCAAAACGTGAGGTTAGAAGGACAGACAACTACAAATGTTTTTATAGGTGGCTATAAGAATGAGTATTTCTTGTTTGGAATCCAAAGTCTTTAAACTCTGTTCGGGCCTTTTACCTGAATGACGTCCAAGCTAGCAGCTCCAGCTCGTCCCACATTGATGGTGATGGGTTTGACCAGCGCGCTTTTAGCAAAGTTCTGAATCTTTTTGGGCATGGTGGCACTGAAGAGCAGCGTCTGTCTCTGGCCCTAAACCACAAACACAAACAACATCAAGCATGCATTGCTCAATAAAGATGTGCAAATGCTCAGAACAGTCTGAAACTACAGCTGAAAATGCAAAGTGACATTAAACTTATGATTACGGATTGCAAAAATATCCTACAAGCATCACAAATGCTAAAAATAGTCTACATGGACGGATACAAAGCAGCTTAAATGCTTTATGTACACAGGCTCATTAATTCGTACCTTAAAATAAGAGAAGATGGTTCTAATGTCCTCCTCAAAGCCCATGTCAATCATCCTGTCAGCCTCATCTAGAGCCAGGTAGCGGCATATATCCAAACTCACCATCTTCTTATTCAGCAGATCCATCAGCCGGCCTGGGGTGGCCACCATCATATGCACCCCGCTGCAAAATACATTACCCTGGGTTTACATCAGCCTTCAAAGGCATGCCAATTAACTGGTTGCTCCCACATCTTAGTTTTTAGCTTGTTTATTAATGCTACTAGTCTTTTTGTGGTGCCAAACTAAAAGAAAAAAATCTACCATATCACACTGCAACTACATCTACTTCCCCCTAAGTGTTTCTTTAGAAAAGGCAGCCTCTTACTAGAAGTTTACTAAATACACCTTAGCATTACTAAGAGCAAGAAGCTATGATTATAATCAATAGAGGAAGTATAAGAATACACTAACCTATACAATCATCTACTACCGCTTTTACTTTCCCCTTGACACATATATTCTCAAAGTCTCCCAAGACTAGCATACTGCCATAAGGGCCGGGGTCAAGCAAAGGGACAAATTCAATTTAATGATGAATTAATTGGTTAAATAAAAACAACTTAAAAATGATCAGTGAAATCCACTAAACTGAACCAAATGCCCTGAATCGATCTCTAAACCATAGAATAAACTGTGTAATAAACTGTTTTTTTAATTTGGATTTCTTTACATCTCTGCATAATTCAACCGTTGGGATGTAAAGGAAGTCATTCAAAGCATTTTGATGCAAAATGCTCTGTTCAGATTTTTCGTTTCTACAACAGTGATAATGTGAACCAGACATACAAAGCATTTCATGCTTCTAAAAGCTACCACACAGGAAACTGAAAAAAATGAAATGGTCACAAATATGTTGCCTGATGCTTGAGACGTCATTTTATGACAGTTTTTGAGGTGAGGTTTTGGGCTAAGGCTTTCGCCTGTCTTTTTAAATACATTAATTGAGGAGAGGTACATGCAGGACGAAGTAGTCCCCAAAAATAGTCCCATTTTCTTGCATTTACCACAATTTTACCATTATCAAAATACATATAAAAACTTATAAGACGCGTGTAGATTGGCCTGTCATTTTGGATAGTAAATAAAATTGCTGCATTTTTGTTGTACGACATTACGACCCCTGGTTCCTATTACCAACCCAGCAAATAAACTATAATTTTTCACAAAGTTTTTCACCAATGGTCCATTTCTCATCAAACCACTCTGAATGGCTTTTAGAAAATCTCAATGATTTAACTATGATATTTAAAAATAAAAAATAATAATAGGTGGCATTCCTCTTTAAGCCATGGACTTACTGTTTGACCACTTCCATCTGCTCTTTCACTGACATCCCTCCGATACACAGGGCACAGCGCAATTGCGGTGCACCTTCATCCTCTAGCAACTTGCAGTAGTACTCAATGATCCCATGAGTCTGTCTCGCCAGCTCCCTCTGCAGGCACACACAGGCACAGCAACAATCAACACCACCAAGCTTGTATCAAAATGCTTTCACCAGAAAAAAAAAAAATCTATAACTTTTAAAAGATTAATCAGTTTTAAAAGAATGTTTTTAAAAATGAGAACCCTCACTTTACCATAACTGTTACTGAATCAAATCAGCTTAAAAGATTCAACTCAAACATTTTAGGAGCTCTCTCTATAGTGAGGGGGGTATTCGGATGCTTATGTTTTTTTATTTAAAATACTTTTAGTGCATTTATTCATTTCAGATCTACAAACATAATGTTTTTTAATCTTTTACTTGTAAGTATATTAAAAGAAGTAAACAAATATATGCTGAAAAAACTAATTTAATAGGGAAAAAGTATTCTGACACAATATTAAAAATATGTAAAAGTTACAATCCAATCTAGACATTATTGCTGTAAAATAAATACATCTTGTTTAAATTTCCCCTAATGTCATTATAAAAGAGTTTGGAAAGATTTCATGCAACAAACAGCAATCACAACGAAACACTTGAATGAAAAAGGCTACAGAGCCATAGCAGACCTTAAACATCCATGTCAGTACAATTCGATAATAAGTGGAAAGTTTCACAATCATCTCAGTTCTTACACCCAACATTAATATAAGCACAGAGATGTGACATTTGCACACAAGTGCTTAGACAATTCCAAAGTCTTTTGGAACAATGTACTCTGCTCAAAGAAAAACAACAGAAATCTTTGGAAATAATTCAGCTTGTCAGGTTTGACAAAATAAGCGTGGTTCAGATTATTCCAAAAATAAAACACCATACCCACAGTGAAGTATGAAGGTGGGAGTATCATGATATGGTGCTTCTTCTCTACAAAAAGTATTACCCATTAATGCAGCAGGACTGGGACATGTTGGCGGAGAGTTTAACCTCATTGGCCAAGAAAGTGAAGAAGATGAACTGGAGAAGATGAACGTCAAGACAATGAACGTAAAGACAATGACCCAAAACATACAGCCAAAACAACTTAAGACTTGTTTCTTCAAAAGAAGGTGAAGGTGCCTGCATGGCCTAGCCAATCTCCTCAATCCTAACAAAAATTTAAGAAGCATTCTGTCTATCAGACCCTTGCAACCTTGGGGAATTGGAGATGGTTTGAAATGGGCCAAAACTGAACCACAATGTTGCAAAAAGCTAATTACTAATTAATAATTGCTAATTAATCATTTTTAATACATATATTTGTTTATGCTTATTAAGTCATACTTTTTACATTGTGTATGCAAATGTATAGTGGATATGTATATTTAGTATATGCACTGGAAGTATATTAAATAACAAAAACAAAAGTGTCTGAATACTGGTAATCCATATACTGGTCATGCATATGATCCCATTCTCTGATTCAGACTCCCAAAGAAAAGGAACTTAGCAGCTATTCTGTGATTAAATGTGCTTAATAGAATATCAGCCTAATTATCTGTGGTGTATAGAGTATGTGTGAGCATATGCACGCATACATACAGAAGGACAGATGATGAGTCCATAAGGCCCCTCTCTCTTGCAGAAGGGCAGTCGCTTCTCCTGCTCCAGACAGAACATGATGATGGGCAGAGTGAACACCAGAGTCTTTCCTGAGCCCGTGAAAGCGATGCCAATCATATCTCTGCCAGACAGACTGCATGATAAGAGGTAGAAACCATTAACTATTTACAGGAACACGCAGGCAGTCACGCTTCACTTCAACCATGCAGGATGGAGAAAACAGTACTTCTGTCTCTATATTTGGTAACAGGTCTGGGAAGTTACAAGAGCATTCAAATTGAACTTACATGGTAGGGATTCCTTGGATCTGAATAGGTGTTGGATGCACAATTCCTTTCTTCTTCAGGCCTTTCAGAATAGCTATGAATAGTCAAAAGACATTCGTAGTTGGAGCGTATTCACAGATATATAAACTTTGAATTACTTTAATTAGAAAAGAAAAAAAGAACAATACTCCCTAAAGTTTTCCATTACCTTGAGGGAACTTCATTTCTCTGAAGCTCTTAATTGGAGGAGGAATCCCATCACCCTCCACCAGAATGTGGTACTTCTTCCGCACCCTCTCATGTCTTGCTGTTGGCATGGTTAAAATGTAGCGGGGTGCCTTCCAGCTTAATGCAGTGGAAAGAAACATTGAGAAACTTTGAGAATGCATTCAGCACCGCATAGAATGCAGCTGCTTTACTCAACGTATAAACATTTAATTAATCTGAATACACACTGAAAGCAAGTGAAAAAAGCTAAAAATGAATGAAAGCCAGCAAATCCAGGTAAAAAAAAGAGATGTGTAAATGCCAATTCGCTAAGTGCTCATCTCCAGCTTTTATTCATTATTATTCAACTTATCAAGTGATATGTTAAAATACAGCATTATGCAACTGAATCTAGTATGCATTACCTTGTTTTAATAGGGTCTTCATAGGTGATACCTTTGGCCATTTCCTTGACAGACATTAAAGCTGAAACAGACAATGATACATCAACTCATTTGAACACTGCATTCAGTACACACTAATGTACACCACCGTTCAAAAGTTTAGAATCACTTTTATATGTTTTATGTACAATAATAACTGTATCAAAGTGGATTCCAATATTATAAACCATTTTCCAAAATATATCTTCTATGTTTAATTCAAAATTTGATCTCCATTTTTTCAAGTATAATGAATAACGGATATTAACTTTATTTACAGTAATTCTTATTTATTTAATTGCAAGATTTATTTCATTTATTATTTAATTCATTAATTAATGTAACTTCTCAATGCTATGCAGCTTTTGGAATCATCCACAGCTCCCTTCATCATTCAAACATGTCTTAATTTTTATTAACAGCCTCCTAGTATCCTGCAAATTATTACTACTAGCATTACTATCATATTAAAACTAGAAAAGTGCATTTCCTGAACAAAATGCAGAGTGATTGTGCAGCTTAAGCAGTTGCCAGCCTGTTGCTAGGGTGTTGCCAAAAGGTTACTATGGTATTTTAGGTGGTTGCTAAGCTGGGTGGTCGCTATGATATCCCAGAAGATTGCCAGGTTGTTGCTAGGTGGGTGCTATCATATTCCAGGTGGTTGCTAAGGTGTTGCTAGGCACTTACTATGGTGTCCCATGTATATACTAGGATGTTGCTAGTGTACTGGTATCATCATTCCATAATCACAAATTAGGTTTGGGCATTTCAGTTCAGTTCACTTCAAATTTGCTACTGCAGAATCAGGCATTGCATAAAATCAGGGTATGTTCAGATATCCTGGGGAAAATGTTGCACTTTCAGTTCTAAGAATAAACATAAATTACTTACTAAAATGTATACAGATTGGCTGAATAAAAGACAGTGAACTACTTGTCAGGGGGAGTCTCCAGATTTCTCTGCTGGCTGTAGCCCCCAAAATTATATGTGGCTTAAATGTAGTCCTGCTGGTCATTTTTATACCCATTTTTATAATGTACCTGCAATCGTATTACTGTCTTTAAGATTTCCTTCTTTTGTATCCTTATCATATAACACCATTATATGTATTCTGTTACTGCCCTGATTGTAACACATGAAATTGATGCACTGATATAACCTTTCATTTGGGACCAGAAAATAATAACAAACCATAACAAAAGTTCTGCTCCAAATAATGAAACACATCCCTTTTTTATAAACATAAAGCATTGCCAAGGAAGTTGATGAGAATGGGCACTTTGTTATAACTACATCGTAACTGTCAGAACAAAACCTTGTATCTCTATTTTATTAAAGGAATTTGAAAATGACACCTGTTCTTTAAACTGTGTTCAAGTTTCATGATGAACAGACCGACAGAAATCATCCAAAATTACTTGGAAATAAATATTGCTCCGATAACTTCTATTCAAAGTTAAAAGTTAAGACTGAAGTTAACAAAGTTATATTATTTTGCAGATACAAGGTTTTGCTGCAACAGCGATGATATATAAACTATACAACTATATAACAGTCATATACTTGCCTCTGCCTTCAGCCACACTTTCCAAAATTTTCTCTTCCTCCTTCAGCTGTTTCTCCTTTGCTGATTCCTTCCGGGCTGCACGCACACAAAATTCACAACATAAATTTACAGGCCCTACAATAAGCTAAATATGGGAAGATAGCAAAATGGCTTTTAGAAAACAGACTACTAATAGATGGCGCAGTATTCTTTTAACAAAAAAATAGAAAACTGTGTGCCAAAGTCTGCCAGCAGAACCTCACGTATGTATCATACCCTCAGCTTTCTCCTTTAGGTGCTGGTGCTGGTCCAGCAGGCTGACGTTGGATCGGGGTCCAAGACCCTCATCTTCATCTTTTTGTTCTCCTCCACTGTCCTTCTGCTCCTCCTCAGTCAGACCCTTCCCTCGCAGACGCATCATTTTTTGCAGCTAAGAAGCCATCATAAAAGTTAATTACCAGATCAGAAATTTGTTATGAAGAAATCTACAACATTTGGGTCATGAACTGGGCATTTATTACAATTTACAGACTTATAACAAACTGCATTTTGCCTCTATCCAATTTCATGTCTAAACCATAATTACTCCCCAAAAATGAAAAGGAAGTGAAGTGTAAAACAAAACACACAACATTCAGTACTTACCATCTGCTGTTTTCTAATCTTAACTGGAACATAGGGCACATAGTCATCCTCATCAGAAGGTTCGGATGGAGACTTTTCCTCTGCATAGTTTCGCTGAAAAATAAAAGGTGAAAAATATGACCTCACTTTGTGGTATACAATGTGTCCAAAAGTTTGTAGACACCTGCTCATCCAATGCTTCTTCTGAAATCAAGAGTATTAATAGTGAATTTGTCCCCCTTTTTGCTGCAGTTGCAGCCTCTGCTTTTCTGGGAAGGCTTTACACTAGAGGTTGGAACATTGCTGTGAGGATTTGACTGCTACAAGAGCATCAGTGAGGTCTGGTACTGATGTTGGATGATCAGTTCTGAATCAAAAATGCCACTCTAACTCAACCCAAAAGAACTGGATGGAGCTCCATCATGCCAGAGAATGAGATTCCACTGCTCCACACCCCAGTTTTAAAGAACTTTATCTCTCTACAGTTTGGAAATACTTTGTATATGAATTTGATCAATTAACCTTTGATGATTATGAGATGAGACACCTCTCTAAGTATTACCTGCTCCAGCAGTGCACCGATCAGCCCTAACATTAAAACCACCTCCTTTTTTTTTTTTAAACACACTTTGTCCATTTTATCAGCTACTCTTATCATATAAGTGCACACTGTAGTTCCACAATTACACACTGTAGTCCATCTGTTTCTCTGCATACTTTGTTAGCCCCCTTTCACCCTGTTCTTCTATGGTCAGGACTCCCATAGGACCACCACAATGCAGGTATTATCTAGGTGGTGGACCATTCTCAGTTCTGCAGTAACACTGACGTTGCGCTGGTACGAGTGGATCAGACCCAGCACCGCTGCTTAAGTTTTTAAACTGAGTATAGTCCACCAACCAAACATATCTGGCCTGTGGACAGCATCCAGTGACCACTGATGAAGGATTAGAGGATGATCAACACAAACTGTGCAGCAACAGTTTGTCTGTAGATCTACACGGTGGACCAACAAGGTACGTGTGCCTAGCAGAGTGGTCCGTGAGTGGACACAGTGTTTAAAAGCTCCAGAAGCACTGCTGTGTCTCGTCCACTGGTACCAGCGCAGCACACACTAACCACCACGTCAGTGTCACTGCAGTGCTGAGAATGATCTACCACAAACAAATAATATGTGGTGGTACTACCCACTGAAGAAAAAGGTAAAAGGGGGCTATTAAAGTATGCAGAGAAACAGATGAACTTCAGTCTGTAATTGTAGAACTACAAAGTGCTCCTATATGGTCAGTGGAGCTGATAAAATGGACAATGAGTGTAGAAACAAGGAAGTGGCTTTAGTGTTATAGCTGATCGGTGTATATAAATGGCCTGACACATGTAATCTCACTAAGGACTACATCATGAGCTGATGAGCAAGACCAAGTGTCCCGATTGAGGGAAAACTTAAAGGACAGTAGTTCCCCGGGACTGGAGTTGAGAACCCTGGCTCTGTTTATTTGGTAACCTAACTAGCTACAATTACAGTATTAGATCAGAGTTTTTGACCATTCTTCCCCGTAATCTTCCCGTTAAGTTACTCCCTGCTCCATTTTAATCTTGTGAAGGGCTTGGTAATTAGCTAGCTGATGAAGTGAATCAGGAATTACAGTGCAGGAAACAAAACAATGTGCAAAAAAGGAGAACTTTACACCAGAAACAGGTCAGGAAAACATCTAGCTAGAAAGCTAGCGAGCTGGCTAACTGTGTAACCTGGTTCTAATACCACGCATAGAACATATAACACCACACATTATCACACTATCTATACAACTCAATCCAGGATCAGAGAACATAGTCAGCTATCTAGGTCATACAAACGCGTTCACTTAGTTAATGAGCCAGAAAAACCGGAGAAAATGAGCGAAGCAGCTAACTAGCTAGGTTAGCTTACCAGCAAGTGTGCTAACCAGCAAAATGTCCGCGAAGATAGTTATTTAAATAACTAACTTTACTCACCTTTCTCGGTCTAGCTTCCGCGTCCATTGTGCGGAGAGACAGGTTTCAATTCTGTATTTGACTTTTGTTACGTTAAGGTGGGGAAAATCGGTTCAGTTGTTCAGAGAACTGCTACTGTTTACAGCCACAGCACAGAAACACTGACGAACACAGCACGAACTCTACGGCAAGCGGACGAGGCCAAACTAAACCGCGTGGGGAAAAATGGTGTAGAGGACAAAAATATCAGAGGGATAGATAATTAACTGCAAATATATTAACTGGCAAACAGCAGATTTAAAATGCTTAAATATGTAAAGTATTAAATGTTGTATCACTCATTAAAAGAGAGTAATGGTTATGGAATGCACAATGACGTGTAAAGATTAACCAAAAATAAGAAATCGGCATTTAAATGCAGGTATACATAACATCACAGGACAAAAATCACAACACTGCTCGATTATGCATAAAAAGCAAACACACACACACACATATATATATATATATATATATATATATATATATATATATATATATATATATATGATGGGGGTTTTTTTTGCAAACTTTAAAGGCCTGAAATGTGAAAATGTATCAAATCAATCATATCACTCAATAAGAGAGCACAATGGAATCGCTATGGTAAGCACTTTGATTTTTGCAAAGAAAAAAAATACTAAAAAGAGCAAAAAGCTGAAGAAGGAGCCATATCACAGAAAGTGACATCTTCCTCACTTTTTTCCTTTGATGCTGTAGACTTTATTAGTAACACCTGTGCACATACTCATTCATGTAATTATTTATTCAGCAAATCATGTGGCAGCAGTGTAGAGCATAAAATCAGGCAGACATGCAGCTTCAGGTCATGTTCACATCAACCATGAGAATGAGGAAAAACACATGATCTTGGTCACTTTGATCGTGGCATGATTGTTAGTGCCAGACAGGCTGGTGTGAGTACTTCCTAAGATTTTCACACACAACACTCCCTCGAGTTACTCAGAATGGTGCAATAAAGAAAAAACATCCAGTGAGCAGAAGATCTGCAGACGGAAACACCTTGCTGATGAGAGAGGTCAACGGAGCATGGCCAGACTGGTTTGAGTTGACAAAAAAGCTACGGTAACTCAGATAATCACTGAGCAGAGAAGCATCTCAGAATGCACAATACATGGAACTTCCTGTGTGATAATGAACCATATACCTTAGCATAAGTCATCTCAAACTGGTTTCATGAACAGGACACTGAGGTCAATGTTCTTCAGTGGCCTTCCTAGTCACCAGATCTGAATCCAACAGAACACCTTTGGGTGCACACCCTTTGGGTGATCCACCTTTGGGTGGATCAGACACCTCATTGTCACTGCTGGACTGAGAAAAAAAGTCCACCAAACAAAAATATCCAGCAAACAGTGTCCTGTGACCCCTGATGAAGGACAAGAGGATCACCAACACAAACTGTGCAGCATCAGATGAGCTACTGTCCTGATTTTACATCAACAAGGTGGGCCAACAAGGTAGGAGTGTCTAATAGAGCGGACAGTTAGTGGACTAAAACTCCAGCAGTACTGCTGGTCCACTCATACCAACACACCACCACCACGTCAGTGTCACTGCAGTGCTGAGAATGACCCACCACCCAAATAGTACCTGCTCTGTGGTGGTCCTATGGGGTCCTGACCATTGAAGAACAGGGTGAAAGGGGGCTAACAAAGTATGCAGAGAAACAGTAAACAACAGTCTGTAATTGTGGAACTACAAAGTGCACCTATATAAAATGGACAATGAGTGTAGATACAAGGGGGGGTTACTAAATGAAGTGGCTGGTCAATGTAGATCCACTCATTCAGCCTATCAGAGTTTAGCCCTGCCCATTTATGGAAAGCTTGAATGTTTCAGCCTCGCTCCTTTGTCAATCACAGAAAATTACAAATTCAGAAGAGGGATCATTTGCATATATCGGTATTAAAGCCACACTAACGAAAACTTTGAATTATAAAGAGCAAAAAGAGTTTGGAAAATAGTCACATATAAATAAACATCTGTGTGAGTTTATGTACCAAAACAATCATCATAAATAGTCTGGGGAATAAATACAAGTAAAATGTATGTGTAAATGGATGTGGAGAGAAAGGCTTGTATGTACGGAAAAACCATCAGTCGCATGTCTCTCTCAAAAAGCCCACAAAGCAATGCATACAGAGACATAAAGTTAAAAGTGACAAAACAGAAGTCTGCAAATATGAAACGATGACGACACAGATTTGAGTTCTACACAAGACTAATTCTCATATTTACACAGTTTCATCTAACCAGAGATATGAAAGCAGGGGCAGTCATGGGCTGGTGGTTAGAGAACCAGCCCCGTGACCAAAAGGTTGCCGGTTTGATCGCCTGAGCTGACAGTACATGACTGAAGTGCCCTTGAGCAAGGTACCTAAACCCCAACTGCTCCCTGGGCACTGTGGATAGGGCTGCCCACTGCTCTAAGCAAGTGTGCTCACTGCCCCCTAGTGTGTGTGCCTTCACTAGTGTGTATGTGGTGCTTCACTGCACAGATGGGTTAAATGCAGAGGTGAAATTTCCCTGTTGTGGGACTAATAAGGGTCACTTAAACTAATCTCTAGAGCTATTTTTTATTTATTATTAATTCATTCATTCATAAATTTGGAGTCTGGTATTCTTTATTCACCCTAAAAAGTGTTGGGCCATATCATTTTTGTACATTTACGAGAAAAAACACTTGAAAGAGGAATTCCACCAATTTTTCCAAAGTTCTGCATAATTCAGTCGCCGAGACGTAAACAAAGTCATTCAGAGTAGTTTGATGTGGAAGGGCTGATTGTAGAGAAACTTACCAACTGAGATTTCTTTATAGCTGTCAGAGGAACCAGGGGTCATGAAGTCCACAGGGCAAATTGTTAGCATTTTATCAACTATCCAAAGCAACCAGTGAACCTACACGTCTGAGTTTTTACATGCAATATTGATCATAGTACAATAGTGGAAAATCTTTAGACGTATCATTTGACATATCATTTAGACGTATCAACTATTTTGCCTCAGCACACCCTGCATGCATCTCTCTACCATTAAAGGATTAAAAAATGGTTTTAGGCCAAACTTTGAAGCTATTTTAAAACAATGTATTAGGCATCAGGCAGACTTTTAACCGTTCTGTGTAATAACTTTCTATGAAGGAGCTTAGAGACATTAAATGCTTCTGCTGTCTGGTACCTATCACCACCACCACCACAGATTCTGACTAAGCTGTTCTAGAATGGCACATTTCACATCAAATCACTCTGAATGACTTCTCATCTCAATATAATTATGCTAAATATTTGAAAAATCTGTGGAATTCCCCTTTATTTCCAAATCAGGACTATTTAGGAAATCTTGTAACAATGAAATCTGTCTAGTTAATCAGAATCTTACGGCACTTACCTTTATATGACAATCTTGCACCATAGCAAGATAATGGCAAGCAAAATGAAGCTAGAAAGCAAACATGACACCTTTTTGTCAAAACTGTAATGTTTTAATCTTTCTGAACGAAAGATTTTCACAGTATCAAAAGTGAATAATAATAATTAAAAAAAAAAACAAAACAAAAAAAAACAAAACAGAAAGCCAACATACACTTGGCCAATAATGGTATAGTATAAATCTACATTCCAAACGTTTAAGATAATGTCTCCTAGTTTAATATAACCTGGATAGCATCAGAGATGTAGAATATGAAAACAATAGCTTGAACAGATTTTAAAAACCCATCTTTGTTTTTCATCTCAATCCTTCAAAGCAAAAAACGGGAGGGCAAAAAAATAAAAATGGTACATCAGTTATCATAATCCCAGGTCCCAATTCCCAACATAACGTCAAATTTTATATTTCTGATTCTTAATCAGAAAGGGATCAGCTTCAAGAATACATGTATAAATGTGCGGACACAAACGTGCAGAGCAAATGTCAGGGTTAAGGTCGAGTGTTGTACCATCGCAGCGAAGCTTTGAACTCCTCACACATGAACAGAGAGAAAAAATAAAAACGTCCTCGATACCAAAAGTCACATACAAACACCGGGAAAGGAGAGAACGGAGAAAGGAGAGAATCCCGTCTGAATTTAGAGCGTGTCAGTCTATCCAAACTACACAAGCAGCACTACGGAGAGTGGCTGGACACCAGCATGCAGCTGAAACGAATGCGTCGCAGCGCCGGACCACCCTGCTGGAAAACCGCCTGCTATGGAGCAACAGAGCCGCCAACATGGTCACATTACAGAACTATATCCATAAGACTACTAAGGATTCTTAAGAGCACAAAGACAAGACTTTAGCTGAAGTCAGGGAACTCTTCTAACTGTCAGTACTGACCTTTATCTGGTACAGAAAGAGAAAGGGAGTGGACTTTTGTCAGTTTTGAGCATCATGCAAGGGAAATCTTGTCAATCTGTCCCCTCTCAGAGGATGTAATAAGTGTTACAGATATGAGATACATGTTTTATAAATCAGAGTATACATTAGTGTTCTCTTTTTTGTTTTGTTTTGGCAAATGTCCAAGTTAACTCACGTAAAAAGCATGGAATTCCTTAGTTTGCATGTACTGCAACCTTCTCATGTGAAATAATTAAAACAGAGCAAGGCCCATATTTATCACGTGCCTCAGGAGTAGCCACTGATTGAGGATCAGGTCCTGTCCATGTATCTGTATTCGTTATGCTCGTTATGTAAAACATAAAACCTCTGAGAAGTTCAATAAATACGAGCTCAGACCAGTTCACTCTGTTTCTCGACAGCTAAAAGACCGCACAATTTAAATAGAGCAATATTATTGTTTTTTTTTCAGTCACTGTAATAAAAACTGTGATTCAGCATTGTTTACTTTGATAAAAAAAAAAAAAAAACATTTTGTTTGTATTTTTGAAGAGTGAACTGTATCCTCTGAAAATGCCCATGAGCCGGTAAAAAGTACCTTTTGGAAACGTAACTATTTAAGGGAAAAAAACAAACAAACAAACAAACAAAAAAACAACGGGATGATAGGTCGAAGCGTACTGTCATTCTGATTTAAAACATTTTATTGTAAAATAACTGTTTACATACTACAAATGAAGTAAAGAAATGCAGGAGCGGTAACCAAATCACATTTTGGTGCATTACTCCAACGCAACAGAGACAGATGGGGCTGAAGGCAGGCCTGCGTGTGACCCTGCTCTACCAACAGGTACGACTGGAAAAAAAAAAGAAAAAAAAAAAGAAAAACGTTCTGATGGATGATTATGTAGACAGAGGTCCCGTGGCTTTAGTGATAAAGAGGGCATAGACAGCAGGGTGACGTCCAGCCAATCAAGTGTTGAGTAAAGTGGCCATAGGCCGATCAGGTGTTCAATACAGTGAGTCACACGTGTGTTGAGCAGTCTTGTCAGGAAGTTGGGGGCTTCTTATAACCATCGTTCATGTGTTACTGAGCTGCGTTTGAGGGCATCTTTTTCAGGCTGAAGTTGGACCAGTTCACAGCCACCTTCTGTCGAGTTTGTTTAGCTGAATCGAGGCAAAACCTGGAGAAAAAGGTGAGCAAAGTGTCAGCGAAAGAACATCAATAGAAACTCCGATTAATAATTCATTGAAGTTGTATGGTCTCATATTGACAGGGCTTCACCTCTTGAAGTATTCGACCTCACGATCGATCTCATCCATTTCCGTCGGATCCAGGTCTTTGGGAAGGAACACGTCATCTGTTGAGGAAAAGGAAACAATATTTAGACACTGTTCAAATATTACTAAAAACAAAGAGAAGATCAATATATTCTTCAACTGCTGAGCAAATCCAGGTTAAACTAGAGCTTAAGTTCTTAAACACATATCCTGGATGGCTGCAGTGCTGACCAGTGCTTTTCCTGCTCCAGCACACCTGATCGGACTTGACAGTTATCCATTTGGGTATGCTAGAGGAGAGAAAATTCTGCAGTACTTGGGCTCTACTAGCCACTGTTTTTTTTTTTTTTTAAAGGCATGAATGCACCAAAATTTCAGCTACTGAATGCACACTGTTTGCAGCTTGCGGAAGAAAAAAAAAAAATTACACACAAAAAAAGCTTGAAATAGGTCTACAATAATGTGTCAAAATCTAACACTTACATAATCAGAATAGTAATGATAATGAGTAGTACTGACATTAAAAAAGGGTTTAGTTCTTTTTACTCCCCTGCGCCAGTCAGCACAGATGCATTCAAAGAGTAGCAGATCGACAGGGAAATACAGTGAGGTAGCTTTGTATACTCGTCCTCATCTTACATGCTTTTAGCGTTAACTAATTTAATGAAAATCTTCAATAATCTTACTCATGATTAAATAATGTTATTTCCCCTGTGTGTGTAAACTGTCCATTATGTATGGGCTAATAACATCAGCACTGCTAGCAGTAGCTGTGCCTGAGTGTGTCTTGAAATTCTTTCGATCCACAATTTTCATTTTGGTGCATCATTATTTTTAAGTATGCTACTGGTGCTGGTTAAGAATGCCCTGCACTGAACAAAGCTCCACCAGCATCTGTGAAATAGAGGTCTGCACGAGGCAGGTTCACCCGCGGGTCCCACGTGATCTGCTAAATAATTTGCGGGCCAAATTAGTTTTGAAGCACTGTAGTCAACAGGTTGCGGGCTTGTGCAGGCGGGTACTATGGCTGGCTGAATGGAGTAGACTTGGACAATTATTGGCTGCATGTAGAAACAAACAAGCAAGCAACAAATGAGCTGCAAGTGTGCAGCAGAGAAAAACACGTTAGTAATCACAAGTAGCAAAACACATGAAGCTATAGAACATTCAATAAATACATTCAACCTGAACAACTTCTGGTTTTTTAACCTGTGCCACGGCCTTAGTTTCTGTTTTGGCTTTAATTTAATTTCAGCTGACTTGTAGATGTTTTATTGAGTAATTAGCTAATAACATGATGCTGACACAAATAAATATACTGTGAGTAGCGAAGCCAAGCTGCTACGCTTTCATGGCTGTGGTGCTGCCCGCCTGTCTGTGAAAAGTGACGTCAAGTGACGCTACGTTCACTGTGTGGTAGTGCTGGGCGATATGATCTAAAATCAATATCACGATTAATTGAATATTTTACCTCGATTACGATTAATGAATGATTATTTTGTTTGTTTTTTTTTTTTGTTGTTTTTTTGCCCTTATAGTTCACTGACAAAGCTTGTACTGTAAATATGCTCTGCATATCTTAATGTAAGTCATCTCAGCCAAATCGGAATTCACGCAGCTTTTATGTCAAGCCAACTCAACATTCGTCATAATTCCGCGCTGCTGAGACCTAATAAACATTTGGGGTGATATTTAGAAGAGACTCATCCAAAACACCTCCGTGTTTGAATAGATTTTGAAATAAATGGCCGAGCGCAGCCGTAGGAGAACAAGGCTGCTGCGTCAAAGAACAGTTATAAGTCTAAGAGCAAAATTTAAAGAATCCGAGGACGCAAACCAAAGAAGTGACCAAACCCTTTTTACGACGAGCCCAGCTATCACTCAGTGAAGCTTAATGACCACTCCTGTGATGCTGGCGAAGATGAAACTGAAAGCTCTGGGAGCGACCGGTGTTCGTTCATAGTCATGATTGTTTACCTCTGGATGAGCCACGTGAAGCAACGTGGAGCGCTGTTCTTTTGCGCATGCGGGTCAGTTTGGGAGCTCATCTGTTCAGACTGATGTCGCATACAGGTCACATTTAAAAGATTGTTAACAGCCAAACAAAAAAAATCGGATTTGGTAAGAAAATCAGATGTCACAGAGTGGACGTGGCAAAGTCACGTGACTACACCTGAAGTAAGTTTTTAAGGGGACAGTACATGAACACACAGAGTGGGGAAAGGATTAACAGAATAAAAAAAATAAATAAATAAATTAAATAACCGACATTGCGAGATTAAGTCTGTTAGAGGTTCTGAATGTCAGTTTCGATTACTTTTCAATTAATTGCCCAGCCCTACTGTGTGGTGCCATGTGCAAGTTCACATGGCTTTGATTAGCCTACAATACACAAAATATTTACTTTTACTTTGCAACACAAACATTTAATTTCGCTACTGCGTGTGTGAAGAAGTGATGGGTCTGGAGGCTGCTCTGCCATGTCATCAAGTCCTACATCAGTGGAGCAGCTGACAGCAAACACAGGTGGAAGTTGACAAGGACGATAAGCATACCCCAAAGCAGACAGGTGCAGGCAAAAATGGTGCAAGGTTTTGCCGGCATGAGTGGGTAAAAATCACACTAGATGTTGCGGGCGCAGGCGGACGTGATTGGTGGTTGGCTGGGAATTAATAATCAGGTCGGTGCAGACCTCTACTGTGAAAGACGATTGAGAGTATACAGTAAAAAGTTACATTACCAATTGCACTACTGGACTTGTCCGTCTTGCTCTTGCTCTTCTTATTCTTTCCCTTTGACTGTTGCTGCTGGGAGTTCGAGTTTGCTGGAGTGTTGGAGTTGGTTTTAGCATCTGCCTCATGCTCCGATCTGTTTCCTCTCATGTCTGTGTCATTCTTTCCTTTGTGCGAGTTAGAACCTGAATGATGGTTCCCGTTCGCAGCTCCATTGGAAGTGTGCTTGGAGGACTTGCCTTCCTCTGTCTTTTTATTCCCCGTTTTTGGAGTCTCCCCATGCTGCTGACTCTGCTGGCTCGCTTTGGATCCTCCTCTGGGGCCCTTCTCTGCCTCAGCTGCTCTGCCCTCTTGGGTTTTCTCTTGGTTTCCAGGTGTTGCTTTGGCAGACTTGGAGACAGCAAGCTGGTCCTGTGAGACCTGGTCTTGTTGCTGCAGCCTCTGCTGCTGTTTTTTGCCCTTCTTCGTCTTGGCTCCGGCCCCTGTGGCGTTCTTGGCGTCTGGGGCCTCGTCTTTGGGTTTGGGCACGGGGGCTGTGCTGGCCGTGGTGTCCTCAGAGCCGGGTGGGGAGCCTCTTTCCGGGGAGCGGACCCGGATGAGCTTGGAGAGGCTGGGGGTGGTGTGCAGCCGCTGGACGTCTTTGGCCGTGGCCGCATTGAAAGAGGTGGTGTTGCTGTTGATGCTGCTATTGGCGCTGTCCATACAACTGTGTAGCGTATCCAGCTCCCTCTTGAAGTTCTTCAGCGAGAGTGGTGCTAAGTCCAGGTCAATCTGCTGCAGGTCGGACGAGCCATTGAGGTGAGACAGCAGGTGGTTGCCCTCCAGCGTGGCAGCTTTCTTAGGGAAGTCGTTGACATCCAGGTTAAGATCGTACATGCTAAAGGAGGCCCTTATGGAGTCTTTGATGGTGTTCTTGATCTCTTCTAGGCGGGAGGTTAGAAAGCTGTTCACGCGCTCCAGCTCCAGCTGAGGCCATTCCAGCAGACGACCTGCTTCACCATCCGGGGCGGACTCTTCCTCTACTGGCTCTGGGGGAGGAGAGGATCGCTGCTCAGTGCAGGATGTCTCCACTGTACCCTGGAGGGCACGTTCCCTCTCCTGAAGGACACATGGAGAAACATTAGCCAGTTACAAAACAACCAAAATACACCATTTTCATTAGTGTGTGCAGTTTCTCACTGGGGAAAAATAGTCTAAGTAGTGGTCATGTGACCGGGGACACCACACCTCCGTCAAATTACATTCATAAAATATTTCAGCCTTGCACTATACTTATATCATGCTCAGGTACCTTGAGGAATTTATATTAGCACTTGAAGTATTTGTACAACCCTGACAGGACCTGAGTAAACACATCTGGTTTGGACATTGTTTCTCAAATATCTGTCAGTCTTTGACTGGGTTCAAATTTCACATATGAGTTTCTCAAGTCTCCTCCATTTAATGGATTTTGGCCGGCTTTCAACTTTTAGTTTTTTTCTGCCAACCTTTATTGTGTTAAACCATTTTAACCTTGCAACCTCGAGTCACTTGTGCCACTGGCAGTGAGGTCCACAAGGTCAGTGTGAGAATAAAGCATTAATCTATATAATTTACATATAGCTGTTGTCGGAAGAAAACCTTGTATCTCCAAAATGATAACTTTACAGGAAAAGGGGACTACTTTGCTTTTAATATAAGTCAATGGAACCAATCTTTTTTCCAAGTGATTTTGGACCATTTCTTTTGGTCCATTCTTCATAAAATTTACAGACAATGTAAGGGCAACAGGCATTTTCAAATTATGTCAAAAACGGAAAAACGACAAATATGAAGATACTAGGTTTTCTTCCGACAGCAGCGTTAAACTATGAAATTACACAATGTTGTTCAAATGCATTAAAGAATAAATGAGTTAACGTTTTTTCAAAATGAATACAGCTTAAGATGATATATTTCTTTGACCAGAGGTGTCCAAACTTTTGCATGCCTCTGTACTTAATTTTAGTTGGCAGATAACGAGGCTATTTATTTTTTACATTTTGTTTAGTGACGATCTGACTATAGCTGTTATTGCCAGTCTCTATGATTCATACTATTTGTTCATCTCTTGCCTACTTAGACACGTCACAGAAAGGAGACATTTAAATTATGGAACAACTGAATCAGTGAAAGCGTTGAAGCTGATAGTACCTTCTTCTTCTGTTTGTGCCGTGCACGCTTGGCTGCCTTGGCGCTGTTGACTGGCTTGGGTTCGGTGCTATTGATAAAGTCCAGCAGCTCGTCCACGTCGCGGTGGTCGATTGCGCTGGGTGTGGTTGGATCCATGTCCTGCCTCTGAGGCAACTCCTCTTTACGGCGAGTCAGCCGGGACCGAAGCTTCTCTCGGATCTCTGCATAGTTCCGACTGGTGGGGGCTGCGGGTGGCTGAGGGATGGAAGAAAGGGGCAATATGGGCCGTCAGTAAAGGCGCTTTACTGCATAATTCTAACCTTGAGCTAATCTTTTCAATTATTATTAAGACCATTTTTTGTTATTATTTCCTTAAAGGGGACCAGTCATTCTGTCTTGCTTAATTTTCCAGCCACCTAAATAAATGTTTGGAACAAAAGTCATGACAGTTTGCGATAGGGTTAAGCAATACTATGACATTTTATGGTTTTCGTGACACAAAGCATAATTAGTCCTGCCTAATTGTATTTAGAGCAACAGAGTACACTAACATTGAACAAAAATGTATTGAAGTTTTTGAAAATGTGGCACTACTGCTTCTGTTTTTTTCTTATCAAATCTCAGAAACACTAAATATTGTGACAGATGTTGTGTATCATGAAAATGTCTTCAAGTTTCATGGGGATATATTTTTGCCATATTGCCCACCTCTAATTTGCAGTATGCTACTAAAGATGTTGATCTGTTTTATTTGAAAACCTATAAACCTAGATTCCTACAGCTGCCAGAGTTCCTTGCACTGTTTCCAATGGTGGAGGCGTGACTATATCAGCATGGCCACACCTCCTCATCTACCACAATTCATTTAGCACTGCAACAAGTCATCATTTGTTCTGAGAAACATTTTAGTGTGTTCAAAACATTTCAGGCCATAAAATTCCAATAAGGTTTTCAAGTTTTGAACCAGCATCAAATCCAAATTGGAACTCTGGATGTATTTTATTGAACATTCAACAGAAACAGAACACCTGAGCTGAAGTAAGCTGTCTGTAATAACAGAGTTCTCCTAATGTAGCAAAACTCAACTGAGCTTATCCAGAAAGCACATAGTCTGAAAGGGTCACAGCATCATTAAACAGCAGAGGGGCCACATAATGGCCACAACACAGCTCAATGCATGTCTCCACTGATCCTGCAGGGTACGCCCCTTCTCCAGAAAGACATACACACCCATATACACACTCGCAGATATGCATGCATGCACACACGAGCGAATATGAGCACATCCACAGATATAAACAACCAGCACAGGTGGTTTCCGTTTTGGTTTGCAGTTTCTTACAGGAAAAGAAGTCTAAGCCGTGGTCACATGACCTTTTGACACCCCATTCCTGACACAATGCATATGTGAAGGATAGCAAACTTTCAATGTGCAGGAAAACAAGACAAAAGCACCCCTCACAGATAGATATACTGATGCTGGTAGTTGGGGGTCTTTAAAAGAGACCACTGATTTTCTTTCAACTATCAAAATACAAACACAACCAGGATCTAAAGGAAATCTAAATAAACCAGGCATATTTGGAAAGTCACTGGTTACAATTAATGAGAGTCTGAGTATTAAAAACTGAAAATGAGAGTGTTCACAGCAATATTAATTTTACATCCGGTTCTATTAACACTTCCACAACTAAATCAAGTATAAAACACAGACCTACGTTGATGTCTTAATTGTGTTTCATGAGCTTCAGAATTTATTGCATTGTGTAGTTAATAATTCAGTGCCTGGAGAACAAACGGGTTTGCAAGTTTAATTTCCCTCTGTCACAAGTCCTCAAGCTACAGGGATGCACTGCAGGCTCAAATTAGTTCAAAACTAAATACTCCTTAGAATTAAATATTCAACATGCCCAATTTCGACTTCTCACACTGTGATAAGGACCCTCAAGTAATTTAAGAGACACAAGCATTACAAAACTACAGTATGTGTTAGAAAAAAACTCAACTGTCTGTTTCTACCACCACTGGAAGGCTTTCAGTTGATTTAACATAAGCAAAGCTCAGCCCTGCATTAGCTACATCAGTCACAGAAGGGGCGAAACTGAACTGTGCAGTATCTGATGCTGGAGAACCCAGAGGTATATAATGGCACCAGAGACTGTGCGAGCCCAGCTGAATTACCGCATTATGGCCGAAGAATTCGCAGTAGCAGCAGTCACAATATTTTCCGTCACGCTGATTGGTGGATGAGGAGGCACAGGAGCTGCGCTCTGAGCTGCTGTCTTCGTCCTCCCCTTCCTCTGGCTCGCACACTGCTTGCTGACACGATGAACCATTCACCAGCTTGTGCCCTTTACACGCTTGGTCCCTAAACAGATACAAGCACACATGTATTTCTCTGTTATAGCAACTGCTCGTAAAAATAACAATTAAAAAAAACTGCATGTTGAGCAAAACGATCTGCTTCAATCAATACAATCTTAAATTGTTCGTTGAAAACTTAAATAGACACAATTTTTACTTTAATTTTTACCCCACATAGTCGATCAGCATGTTTGGTGACCAGATTTTGCTTCTGCAGTTTTGTGCTTGAGCTACGAAGCTAGCACTGCTGTCAAACACTAGAAGTTAAGAGTCACCCAAATCTTTCCATAAATCCCACAACTCCTCTCAACCTGCTCAAATCGTATCCAGGTCTTCATTAAGGTCGCGCATGTTTATGACACAGTACGACTTACTGTGAACTAAGAAAATGAATAAAACTTCGCCATGTAGCAGCCACTTTAGACAACGGTGTTGTGCCAAATTCTGACCATGGACTTCCCACCTACCTGCAAGCAGTGGACGTTAGATGAGCTGCATTGGATGATGCTACAGTGCCACCGCTGCCATTGTTGTTGTGCCCGTTGCAGGGGTGGCTGCAGCCCATCAGCGAGGCGCCCACCTTCCCGTGCTGGGCACCGGCGGGCGGAATGTGAGCATTTTTGCAGGTGCTGGACTTATGCAGGGTGGCCGGGCTGTCTGGCCCACCCGAGTGCTTGGCGCCAGCAGCCAGGTTTGGTGCCAGTGGGGAGAATGGAGCGTGTGCAGACGTGTTGACGTGGACATGCTGACTAGAGGTGGGCTTGGTGGCAGGCAGCAGAGTGGAGTTCTGGGAAGAGAGGCCCGTAGGGCTGTTGGGCGGCACTGATAGGTCTGCAGACTGGTGGTGCTCGCTCGGGTGGAACGCCTCACCTGGAGGACAGAAGAAGGTGAATACCACGTATGCAGCTTTTCAGGAGTGCAATTCTGGATTCGTTACTATTTTAGCACAACTAAGTTTAAGCCCAGTATCTAAGAAACATTTGTTATTTTATATTATATATACACTCTTTTCTTCAGGGCTTCACACTATTTCCACCCCATAGTAACACACATACTCAAATATGGAATGAATTAAATATCTATTTTATCTAAACAGACTGGTTGGGGAAAAAAAAGTCTACATAGTCTGTACAATCTTTATACTGTCTTTTCCAATGTGTTTGACTTTATCAGTCCTGCTGCCCTCTAGTTCTTAGACAGTGGCCAGTTTAGACAACAGGACCACTGTTGACGGATATATGAGTATCAGCCAACACAGAGTCCAATCTGCTTTTTGTGTTTTCACAGATAACACAGCTGCAAAATCTAGATAAGATTATGATACTCTGCCAGGTAATACAGCTTAAAATCAGTGAGTTTAGTGTGAGCATATTGTGACATTCTGGACTGATACATTTTTTATTTCAGCCTACTTTTTCAAAATGACCACATTCTGCATTGAAATCTGATATGTTCACTGTACAGACTGATAGCTTTTATTGAACTTCTTAGGTGAAATAACCATTTTACAGAATGGTGAATATGCTTCAATTTCACACTGCTCTAACACAAGCTGCTCCTTTCTCTCACATTTGAATGTGGAACGTCTGCTAATGTCAGTTTGGAACCAGAAATGCCGCATGGGAAAATTACTTTTGAACAGAGAGAAAAACACGACGGGACTGTATTTTGTACATGGTTTTGGCAGCATACTGCCTGTGACAAGCAGCGGAAAACAGTTTCATGCCGCATGCTCACATTTCACATTCTGGTGTTTACACGAAAGGAGGCTTGTTTAAACGCAGTGGTAACACTGGAGCTGCATATTACACATTTTAAGCTTCCTCTATAAAACCGTTCAACACTGCAGACAATCAAATCACTCTGTTACCTGAAAACATGCCTCGGTGCCGCAGGTTGTGGATAATGTCCGTTTATCAGTGTTTCTGTTATAAAATTATTGCCGCCACTGTTTCCAAATTTTTTGTTTGAAATTTTTTTTCGCAATTCCAAACCTCAGCAGAGGGCTTTTAATTTTACACAATGGATAGAGGAAGTGCTGACACTCAATCTGGTCTTACTATGTCTGTGCCAGAGCCATGTAAAGAGGTCTGGTCTATGCCCCCAACAAGAGGGAGAGAGAAGTAAGAAAGACAGGGACAGAAGAGAAGAGAGAAAGGTAGATTAAACAAGCTAACGATTAATCCAGAACAAATCTGCCATGTTCATAGTTTTTACAAGTCTGCTAAGTAATAACAGAATTACCTTCTATAATTTGCCAAACTCACATCACCCTCGGTAATAGTAATCCTGCTCGAATTGACATCTCAGTAATGCAATAACAAACCCAGGTATTATAAACGGACGAGGCTGTCATTGGCTTCCTATTCACAAGATTCTTGTCAGAATTTTCTTGTTCCACCTTAAATGGTGCAGCAGTAACTGTTGCACCATTCAAGGTGAAAGAAGCTGGCAAATAAGATCATCACTTCAGCTTTGTAGAAAACAGTGCCTCCTTTTACTTTCTTTGTTTGTGAAGACAAGGCTATCAGCTTAAATTAAAGCTCAATTTGATCCCTAATCCTCAAGTTAATGACAAGACTAGTGAAATCCACATTTTTGGTGATGGCCAAATTACAAGAAGAAGGAAAATATGTTGAAAGTTCCTCTCGCAAGGCAGTTTGTTTTCTGTCTCATTGGGTGACATTTGATAAGTGGAATGAACCCACTTCATTAGCTTAATGCCTCCAAATAATTTAGCCACACAACGTATTATTGTTCAGAAGTGTGGTGCCTGTTGCATGATGCTGATGTAAACATCCAGCAATGATGTTCTCGGGGTGTTAAAGTGTAGGCCTGCAGTACTGAAAAAGAAATCCTAGAGGAAACAATACGTTTCTGGCATCTCAAAGACCACAGAGTAAATGGTGCAAAAATGAAATGAAGGATTTCTACTTATTTTAGCTAAAACTTGATCCATCATGCCACAACATGCCACGGTCAGATGTCTCTAAATTTCATACCTTTAATAGTTTAAAAAAATTAGTCATTTCAGACAATTTATGACCTTTCTATACCACTTTTAAGGATCCATGGAAACCCTGTCATTAGAAATGAATTAGTAATTTTCATACTTTTTAGTCATTTTCAAACTTTCATAAAAATAAAGTTATATCTTCCCTAGATCAATCTCAGAAACTTCCACGTCTAAAATTATCCATTAAACTGCACCATCAATTAACACATTAATGTAGTATCAATGTCCTGACTCCGCGTCCTACCTGGAGGAGTTGGTCGCCTGCACATGGTTTTGAAGTGCTTGGGGGTGGTCTTGCAAAGCTCGGCGGAGGTAGACAGTGGAGTAGCAGGGGACGTGGCACTGAGATTGGGGGAAGCTGGGTGACTGTAGGGACACACTTTGGTCCCAGATGCCTCGTGAGAGGATCTTTTCTCATGACAGGTTGGTCCCGCCGTCCCGCCTGCTACAACCACAAAGAACAAAATTAGCATCCAGTTGTAACTAAACTTCTACCATGCATTGATACTGCTGGATGCACAGATCCGGATTATTTAATCATAGCCATTGCATCATCTGCTTTGCCCCTTTTCTGTTTGTTTTTTTTTTATTATTATTATTATTTTATACTTGTGGTAAAACCTTATTCTCTGTTCACATTGCTCTTATTGTTTTGCTATCCAGAGTCAACCAGGAGGAAGGGTTTCCCTTCTGAGTCTTGGTTCCTCTCAAGGTTTCTTCAGCTTGCTCTTAGGGAGTTTTTCCTTGCCACTGTTGCCATTAGCTTGCTCATGGGGGCTTGGACCCAGATTTTTCTGTAAAGCTGCTTTGTGACAACGCCAGAATGAAGTATTAAGTCATGAGAGGTTGTGCATTATAGTGACTGTACCAGGCGTTAAGCCCTACATAAGTATAATTAAAAATTATTTTAATAACTCTTCTGCCAAGTAATGTAGTTTGTTAAAAGTAAGCTATGATTGGCAAGAATCGTAATGGTCAAAGATCATTCAATGAATAGTGCAATGTTTTTTAAAAACAAAACACTGTTGGTGTGTGCGGTCATGTGTGTGTATATGGGGCATTAGACTTTGACTTTTTTCAAAAAATATGTAATAAATTAAAAAAAGCAATAGTCAAAATCTTAAAATAAGGTCTTTGCAAGAGCTCACTCATCCCAGTTAAAAGACAGACAAAAAGAGAGAGCCACACACACAGCTAGACAAAGACATTTGATGAGAAAGACAGACAGAGAAAGAAATAAAAAAAAGAGAGAGAAGCATTGTCAAACCTTGCTGAGAGTGAGTACCAGCACCATGGGTGCAGTGAGCTCCTGTGTTCGAGTGAGCCGAGTTCCAGAGGCCCGATAGTTTTCGGGCCGAGAGGAAGGAGCTGGGGTCCCAGTCTACGGAGCTCTGCTCTGGGTAACCATTCCCACAACTCTGCGACTTACACGAGGAAGAGTGGGACAACGGCACCTGCAAAATACACATATACAGAAACACACTGAATAACGCAGGACTGCTGCAGAAACACTGTCCGCCTAAAATAACATTTTCTTAATGCAGGATCTGTTTTTAATGAACCTTTTTTAATTTCAGTTAAAGAACAAAAACCTTTTAACTGTGTAGTTAAAAATGACAAATATACAGCCAGAAAGTTTCTATAGGTCACAGTCCTGAGTGGGAGCTAGCAGAGGAAACACAATTATTGTCCATATCCTGCAATTTTGTTCTAGTTTATCCCCCACCCTCAAAATTAACTTGTGACGTTTGTGTGATTTTACGTACCATAAACAGTCATAATTCCTTTTCACATGAAACTTTACCCCTTAGAAGACTTATATTTATGTAAATGACCTCTGTTCTGACTGTCTTCCTTGTATTGTACCTCACTCAAAAAAAGGAGTGTAAGCTTAAACACTCTTTATAACTTCAGTGTGAATGGGTGGGGCTAAACTGCTGTAGGCTGAATAGACAGATATGTACACATCACATAACCAATGAATACAATACAGTCTGTTTTTGCACCTTAGTTTTCATATATGGACTGGATAATTAATGGTACAGTTTGAAACCTTTACAGTGTTTACATAGTACATCAAACTCTTGATTAAAAATATATGTATATCTGTTCTCCATGATATGGGCTCTTCAACATAACAAGAGAGCAAATGTTTAAACCCCATCACATAACAGATCAAAAGGGTGAATCAGACAAATACTAGTATCGCACTAAACTGTACTAGTATCTTGTAACAGTGAATGACCAAAATGACATTTTCTGATCGTACAAGTTGAGGACTACATTTGCATAAAGAGATAAACAGGGACCCCCCAGCTGTATAAGAAGTTAAAACTGATAAATAAAAAGAATGCATAAATTCTATTGAAGGTTACTTTACTGAGAGACACAGCAGAGCTAACAAAGTTAACAGATGTTTTTATAAGGGTCAAACATTTGAATGGCAGCACAAAACAAAGCAAAACCAGACTGAACCTGTCGGACCCTACTCTACTGTTACCTTGCACACATAAGAACTGGAAATGGCAAACGGATGTTCAGTCTTTTTCACTGAATGGTTTTATGGGTAAATAATCAGTGCAGGTTCAGGAAGGGAGCTATGGCCATTGTTTGCCCTTGTCCACCTAGTGAGAGGCATATCCGTTATCAAGCTTGGTACAAGGGGAAAAAAGCTGGCACTACTTTAGGTTTACCTATGGCATGATTTTCCTCTATTGACTCACGAAAACCTGCGTCAGTAGATCTTGTGTGTGAACTGGTTTGGGGATATTCCTCCAAAATCAGTTACCAACAGAACAAAAGAAGACTAATCAGACGCTCTGCCACCCCCACCACTGCCCCACGGCCCCCAAAAAGCCCTAACTTCAAACCCGGAGCCATTTATTTAAGTTCCCTGTTTGACTGACAGGTGCATTTTCACACTGGATGACTATCAAGAACTGTTTTCAAAGCAATTTCACCAAACAATCTGCTGCAGTTTGTTAGTACAAAAGTGTCAACAGCACTGACTGCACAGTACAACATAAATTGAAAAACGCTGCAAGTGTGAAGAGCGTGTGTGTGTGTGGGAAAACACAGAGGCAATTCCTGTTTGAATCACAGTCTTGACTTCTTGTCCCACCCTCAGAAGCTCTTAAGATTAGCTGCAAATGTGTGCTTATTTTGGCAATATGGTCAATCCCATCATAGTCCGTTCAGGGATGGAGTGCAGCCAAAGGCAAAAGAACCCATGCTATCACCTACCAGACTATATTCAATACACTCAGGAAGCAAATTTGCATCCATTACAATGAAGCACCTTTGCACATTTGCTTTAACACGCAAAATTGCAGTCTATTTAAAGCAGTGGGAAGATGATGAAAATAGATGCACTAAACATTATAATCCAGACGGTAAATAACAGGGCCAGTATACATGCTTGTCTGCACTGTAAATAACAGGGCCGGTATACATGCTAGTCTGAACTGTCAAAGTCTTTTCACCAAGAGCCTAGACTCATATCCAGCTAATAGCTTTGTCTCAGTAATAGAGCCATTTGGATATCCTGAAAAGAGCCACACATCTTGAGTGAATGTGCTATTCTCTGTAGGCCTGTGCTCAAAAGACTGAAAAGAACACTGCCTGAGCAGTCTTGTTAAATGAATTTATAGTAGATTCTCAGCCTTTTGTGTCTGACATTTATGCACAATAATATGCAATTGATGTAAAACACTTAGGCCTAAGTGCATTCACTTTGACACATATCGCAACGTGAAGTAGATGCAAATACCTGGCACTAGCTCAACTGGCACTGTAACTGTAACAAAAACACTACAAATCCATCAGAGTGTTACTAAGAGTGATATTCTATGATCTCATGGTGATCTCACTTGGGCTTGGGCAATGCATTGTAATAATTATAAAGAGGATGATTCCACATCATTCTGGCGATGTGCTTTAGAACAAAGTTTTAAAGAGTTCACGAACAAATATCAAGTTAACCACGTGTAAAGTGGGGAAAAAAGCACTTCGGCCAAAATTAATGTACGTCCAGAGGCTTACACCACTGGGTAACTTCTCTGATGTGAAGAGACTTAAAAAAATCTGTAGCATAAAAATTTAGCAGCAAGCAGAGAAAGACATTTGAAATCTTTTTGTTATTTAAAAGCTGGGAGAAATTGATTGTTTTCATGTTGTATGACTAATGGAGGCTGCCTCTTCAGATGTGAGCTGTGTCAGTCTCACCATATATGTTAAGGCACTCGTGTTTCAGAGTGTTGCAATGTAATGTTCATACTCTCTCATACGAGCAGAAGTTTAACAGTTTACAGTCCTACTAAAACATAAAAGTGGCATTCCATTCAATTGTTATTGTCCATATTTTCTCCATCTTCTTGTAATAAAATGGAACAAGTAGCCAAAAAGTGATTTCAGTATTCAACTTTTAACTGAGTACTCGAGTACCAGCACGCATCCCTTTATCATTTACAACATTCTTATGCCTGAGATGTGTTTTACATGACTAAAGGAAAAAACGAAAACAGTCGTTCGAGTGTCACGACAAGTCTCTCTGTGACATTGTGCACGTAGCAGCGAATAAACTGTTAGCGCGTCTGGGCCGCTCGACACGTGCATACGACGGATGAACAGTGAAGCAGATTCCAGGTTGACCAAGTTAGTCAGAACAACATATTATACGGTTAAGAGAGAAAGACCCTTCAACGACTACCCACGTGAAAAATGTATAACTTTAATGTGAATTTGTTTAGAATAAAATACAAATCAGTGGTAGGAATTTGAGCAGTTTTGTTAAAAAGTTTTATTTTAAGAATAATTTACCATAACTAAATATATTAGTTTGTGTGTGTGCTTATATACAACACTTACAATCCTAAGTTTTGTTCAGGACAGGAGGAATTTGGTTCGGGACACTGAATTTTCAGGTCGCTTGCCCGCCTGGGCAAGCTGGAAGAAAAGTTAACATTGAACCCTGCTAACTAGCAAGTCTTCACTTATTTTGCCTTGTAAATAAAGAAAGAAAGTATGTCTACATGGGTACATTTGCATGCCTAAGAACTGCCATATGAATTTAATAATAATAAATAAGTAAACCATTTTAAACAAAAGCAATTTTAAACAACAGCCGCCAGAGGATTTACGGCACATGCATGTCTACGTTAGGTATTTTATAATGTATCAGCATGTAAAATTGGCTCTTTTTGTGCTTCCATGTATTCTATCACTGCATAAAACAGGGGTGTCCAATCTTATCCGCAATGGGCCGGAGTGGCTGCAGGTTTTTCTTCCAGCAAAGCAGGAGGTCACCTGATCAACTGTCTGAAGACTGAGACCAACAGATTAAACAAGTAGAATCAGGTGTGCTCCTGCTTGTTTGGAATAAAAATGTGCAGCCACACCGGCCTTTTGTGGATAAGATTGTGGTAAAGAGTGGTAAACTATTATTATTCTTTTGTTTAATCAGAGTAACAATAAGTTTGTGTCTTTCATTTCACCAATTTGTGTCTTTCATCACAAACATGGCAGCATGGACAAGTGTATCAGCATTCTTTTATGCCGGTGTTTTTATTGTACATACCACATGGCACCTGCCAGAGTTTCACATCAAAGTATGATCATACAGACAAGGATACCAGAGTCGAAACTACCATTATTATGATAATCAATTACTCTAGCCGTGATTAACTAACTAATAAAGTCCTTTCACTTTGCCCTTCACAGCTGCCGTTGTTCAGTTCCATCAGTATGACATACAATTTCTTTTACGATGCAAAGCCACAACAGAACCCAGTGCTTCCTGTAGTTTTTTGCAGTCTGTTAGAACAATTGCATGGATCATATGGACATTATAGAGCACTTTTGCTTTGAACTAAATGACACATAAACTTCTTTTCCAACAATTTACGTTGCCAACAACTAACAGAGTTTCTCGGCTGTACATAATACACTCAGCAGAATAGTAAAAACTAAAGCCAGACTAAAAGTTATCATCCGGGACCAGTTTTGTTCTCCATAGAATAAAGCGGGTGCTGTACTGAAATCAACGCTTTGCTACCCACCGGTGCACTCTGCTCCTGCGCCGTCCTCCTCTCTTCTTCCTCCACGCTCTTCCGGCAACTCTGGCATATCCAGAGGGGGACTTCTCCCAGCAGAGACTGCGATAGCGAGGGCACAGCATCCGCTAGCTTGCGACCCGGGACCTCCCTTAACAGGGCCTGGGAGAGAGCCGGGACGGCTTCCGCCAGTTTGGACCCATGGCTGGGGAGCCCATTGGCCAAGCCTGCTCCCCAGTCCTTAAACTCCCGATGGCACAGCAAACAGCAGGTGTGCATGGACTGTGGGCGAGAAATTAAGCACGGTTACCAATACAAATACTGGTAGAGATTCTGATTGTTTCTAGCACTGGCAGAATACTCATTTCATACATGACAGCAGATGTGTTGGAGCACGAAAACAACTGTGCGGTGGAGTTTTTCCCGGAGCAGGTTTGACCACTACAACAAGTAAATGGTTTTGCATGAGATATATCAGGAGGAACCTCCTAGAACTTCAGGCTGAATAGCTGCTTCGGCGTCAGTCCAATCCACAAATAAGTTCCAACAACAAAAAAGCACAGCTGAACACAAGCCATTCCGAGAGAGCTCTAGGACCACATTCCCACTTTCACTCCAAAAGAACTTCCACAAACTCAACTGCTTACGTCCCATTCTCACCAGGACAGTAACTTTCCCAGCTCTTCAGATGCCCTTGCTCCTTTGCATGAGCTGCCGTCAGAACTGTACTGGATTAACATTGGCGAGCACAAAAGTATGTCAGCACCAGAATCAAAGGACTCTATAATGCAATAAATATCTGAAGACACAGCAGAGATGTCTCACAGACCCTCCTGCAAACCATTATCAAGCTGATGTAGCAGCGAGCTAAGCTACATCTCCAGGATGGAGGACGTCAACGTCCAGCTGCGAGTTAGCTCACCTAGCAGGGCCGGCTGGACAGAGGAGCTGTGTAGACAGCGAAAAGCCTCTGTTAGATTACCTGACACTATCTAGCACTGTGTAACACGCCTTATTTATTTATTTACTCATTTATTTATTTATTTATTGTGGGTAGCTGGCGAGCAAGGTGCTCCGCCCGACCATACTGAGAATGGACAGCTAACTAGGTAGCCTAGCATGGCTGTGAGACGAAGCTGAAATCAGCTTCTTATTCCAATTTTCCCGTTCCACCTTAAATGGTGCAGCAGTTACGATCGGCGCCTGGGACGCAAGAGTGTAACTGCTGCACCTTTTAAGGTAGAACGAGAAAACTCCAACAAGAAGCAGGCGAATAGGAAGCCAACTTCAGCCTAGCATAGCTATGAAGGAGGAAAAAAAACTGCACTGCTTTTTCAATTTTGCTGCAAAATTTCGCATTTTAAAATGTCCAGTTTGACAAAAATCCTACAAAATATATTTCTGCGTTTAAAGAAGTATAGACACGTGAGCGGCTGCATATATGTTAAGGTGAGGGTCGTTAGCTAGCTAGTGGCTCCAGCTACCTGGCTGGTCCTCGCCGGGCGGTCTAGTCCCGCGTCTCCGCCTCCGGCTGCAGCTCCATCGGCCTTCTTCTCCGCGGCGCTCCGCTGCTGCTGTTGCTGCTGCTGCGGGTCCTCCTTCTGCCCCGCTCCCGCCTGCTTGCTCTTCTTCCTAGCCATGGCGCTTTATTGTACAGTTTTATTATGTTTTTCCCCTGCCTGTCCCCGCTCAGTCTGCGACAGGTTTGATAAAAAATGGTACAGCTCCGATAAAAAATGGAGAATTTTTTGGCTTTTTATTTTTTTCCAAGCGCCGTAAAAACAGTTTCTGTTTCTCTCCTCAAAGACAACAGTCAATATGGCGGAGGGCTGGCACACACACGCTCGCGCGAGGTCGCGGGGTCAAACGTAGTGATGGCAAAATGGCTTCGCCGCCATGCTAACTGTGGGAAAGAGAGAAATCCGCCCAGAAGCGCAGCCACGGGGAGCAGTGTACATCCTCTCTGTAACGCGGGATAACGATAAAGTTTCCACAATTATGACTTACTATACTTTCTCATACTTCCACAATTATGACTTGCTATCTCATACTTATGAGAAGCCATGCCTATGAGATATTACGTCATAATTATAAGATATTAAGTCATAATTATGAAAAAGTAAGCTATAATTGAGATACTACGTCATAATTGTGAGGAAGTAAGTCATAATTCTGAGACATTAAGTCATAATTATGAGGTACAAAGTCTTAATTATGAGAGTAAGTCATGATGATGAGAAAGCAAGTCATAAATATGATATGCTAAGTCATAATTATGAGAAACTAAGTCATAATCATGAGATATTACGTCATATTTATGAAAAAGTCATAAATATGATATGTTAAGGCATGAGATACTAAGTTATAATTATGCGAAAGTAAGTTATAATTATAAGATACTAAGTCATAATTATGAGAAAGTAAGTCATAATCATGAGATATTAAGTCATAATTATGAAAAAGTCAAATATGATATGCTAAGTCATAATTATGCGAAAGTAAGTCATAACTATGAAATGCTAAGTGATAATTATGAGATATCATGTCATAAATATGATATGCTAAGTCATAATCATGAGATACTAAGTCATAATTTATGCAAAAGTAAGTCCTAACTATGAGATGCGAAGTCACAATAATTTTGCAATACCAAGTCATAATTATGAGAAAGTAAGCCACAATTATGAGAAGTCATAACTATGAGATGCAAAGTCTTAATTTTGCGATACTAGGTAATAATTATTAGATACAAAGTCACAATTATGAGAAAGTAAGTCATAATAATGGGATTCTACATCATAATTATAAGAAAGTAAGTCATAATTATGAGATGCTATGTCACAATTATAAAATATGTCAATTATGAGATACTAAGTCAATTATGAGAAAGCAAGTCATAATGATGAGAAAGTAAGTCATAATTATGAGATGCTAAGTCATAATTATAAGATACCAATTCATAATTATGAGATACTATTTTAGAATTTTGAAAAACCTTCTCATTATTATGACTTACTAAATGGCTATATATTTTTCATTGGCATAATAAGCTTCCACAGATAAAACACAAAGAAAGTGAACATAAAACTGCAGGTCTCCTACTAAAACCTGTCTTTATTTTACCAGTTATTAGCCTAATTAAAGTGTTCATTAACTTCATTAACTTAATTTAATAACAGATATAGCTTTTTTTTATATAACTCTTCAGACATCTGGTTCCTATAACCACCATTGTGAACAATTCTGACTTGGTAAGTTTCTCTAGAACGAAAGATTTCACACCAAACCACTTTCAATGATTTTGTTGACATGTTAACCATTTAATTATGCAGAAATTTTGAAAAATTGATGGAGTTCCCCTTTAACCTGGCTACATTGTTGAATCAATACACTCACACAAATGTCAGTAGTTACACAGAATTTTGTAGAATTAAAAGCAGTGTGACAATATAAGCACTCACTGTGGCAGTATACATGTTATAAGCATTAGAATTAGCGACACAGCTAAAAAAGATACAGAAACTACACTCAGCACTGGCATTTCTGTGAATAGAGTTCATTTTATGCCTGAAAACTCCTTAAAGTTTCCTTTTTTCTTTATTTTGGTTTTGGTTTGGGTTTTTTTGGACAAAATATTAATCAAACTAAGTTCTTAACCCTCAGAAAATGTTATTTTCCCACCTAAAGCTGTCAAACCAGACATTATATGAGGTATTTTCACCATAAATGACAGCGTAACAGGGTTGAAGTGAGTAACAGGGCTGAACACAGAGATCATATTCAACATTAAGTTGATAAGCCTATTAATGCAGGTAAAAAAATAAAATAATAATCAAGATATTGTCACTAAAAACTTAGTTCCAAACCATTTTTAATTCATTTTCATTTAAATTAATTGAAGGTTAATTAAAGAGTAACAGGGTTGTGAACTAAACCTAAACCTAAAATGTTGCACATGTTGCCTGCTGACTACTAATAATCATATAGTTTACAATAAAAAATATACATTAATACATGTATTCTTTTTTCTTATACTTTTTTCTAGCAATACTTTTGGTAACAGAGTTGAATGATCAAGCTTTACTGCAGCCAACTCAACTTTTTGTGTGTAAATTGAGAAAATAGAATGAGAATACTTCCTTGTCTGATGGTCATTTTGCAGAAAACAACAAAATGACACACATTCTTGTAGATATTATGATAAATTAAATGTTCCATTTTATATGGGGGGAACAGGTTTGGGTAACAGGGTTACGCCTAAAATGTGGGACACAGGTTAAAATGATGTTTTTGTTAAATTAAATCATTCTTTTAACATTAAATTGCTGGGTCATTAACCAAATAGCATTGTGATTATGGTTTTGCTGGAAGATTTTAATGAATGTATTTCATAGAGAAATTCAGTGTCAGTGAGATGGGCCCAAAATCACCATATAAAAGGCAGATACAGACATTTCAAGTGTTTTGTGATCATTTAAATGATAATTTCAATAGTTTTATTTTTAGTCATGTTGAAGCTCTAAGTTTGATTTTTTTTGTTTTCATTAGCCTCATGATTAATGCATTTAAACATGTGCTTATTTATTTATTTTATGTACTTTTCATCCTGTCAGTCGTCATGCTCATCTTTTGTATATAGAGACATTTATTTCTTGTAATAAAAATCTTTTTGGAGTAATAAAAAGAAAAAAGGGAAACTCTAAAGTTACAAAGAGGAATGTGGGATATCAAAGCAATCCAACTTAAGACAAGCTGTGAAAAGCAGTTACCCCCTGTGGGAAGTGAGCTAGCTCGGTGCTGACATAACAATGCAAATCCCATAGGAGAGCAAAGGGAAATTAGCATGATCACATATGGTGGTATTTGGATGAACAATAGCGACATGCATAGTAAAAGTTTCTACATTAAACATTGTTTTATAATGGTTTGCCTGACTGTCCTATATTAGTGGCTGGTTTCTGTCTAAGCTGGTCTTTGATGGTCATCAGCTGAATTCTTGCCTCAGGTGGTCAATGTTATTAACCAGTTGAACTATACGTAGGTCATCCAAGTAGACCAGCCAGTCAAACTTAAAAGAAAACACTTTCTGTTGGTCAACCAGCTTGGCCAAGCTGTTTTTTTCAGCAGGGTGGCACATGTTCATAATGAAAAAAAAATGTCTGGAATATTGTATTGTATGAATATTGTATGCTTCACTTCATGTTTGTACAACTGTTTTACTGTTATCAGTCTAAGAACCTTTACTTGTTTTGGAATTTGTAATTATTATTTTACTGTACATAAGTTAAATTGTCCTAGGTTTGGTGCCCTAACATAAGGAAAATGCATTCATTCTTCTAAATGGTTCACCTGATATGAGAATACAGTGCAATTTAACCTTATTATCAATGTATCCTTTCATAGACCATATGCCAGAGCACCTAGGGTCTGACACCCACCCTGAAAAAATAAACAATCTAAGGGACTTTCATTTAAGCAATTTTATGTTTGATGGTGTCATAAATTGGATTTACTTTGATTCTCCTAATTTATCTCTTCTTTTTTCCCCTTTCTACATTTAAATGTCTTTAAAAAATATGAATATAAGGATGCAATTTCACAAATACCTAGAATATTGTCCAGTTTAGTGAATTGCACCTGCACAAACAGAAGCTGGACCGTAAGTGGAGCAGAACATTGAGAAAATGAAGACCCGGAGATGATTAAAGTTATAGTTTGAGACATCGTGTGTGTGAATTGGAACCCTATGCATGTTTCTCTTCTTTCCTTGATTCTTCAGTGTGTGCTCCATTGAATATTTATTTATAAATATTTATGGTAACACTTTCTATGAATGTCACCTTTGTAAGCATCTATAAACACATTCATAACATGTTATAATGCATTCATAAGACATTATAAACATAGCTAGAAATATTTATTAAAATGTACTATATGTTATAGCCATGTTTATTATGCATTATGAACTGTTAAGATAATACATTATAAGTATTGATCATAACAAATTATAAGAGCTCATAAGTCGTATTTGTCCGCTCTAAGTAAAGTGAAGCGTACTGTACTGAACCTCCTCCAGTGTTAAGAGTGAGGCTTCAAGTTGAAGTATTTACTGAAGGATTTACTGAAACACTAAAACATACATAATAAAGCACATTACAGGCTTCAAATGTCAAAGTTTAAACTGGTGCTGCCATCAGTGTTTTACCCAATGTGTGAAAGCCAATGTACACCACCGTTAGCTTGGTATTTGTCTTTACGCTCTCCAAGCTGGGACTGACTTCTTTGACACTGACAGTGTAACATGTTATCAACACTACTTATAATGCATTATATTAACAATTCATAATGTATAATAAACATGGCTATAAAGTGTAATTCAGTGTAATTCTTTTTTATAAATATTTATAACCATGTTTATAATGCCTTATGAATACATTATTACATGTTATAAATGTGTTTATAGATGCTTACAAAGGCAACATTCATAGAAAGTGTTACCATATTTAAAAATATTTTATTAATGAGCAGTTCAGGCTCATAGTTGATAACTCGAACAATAACAATTGCAATTAGTTCTTATTTGGTTCTTTTGTTTCTTTTCTCTCTTTCTTTTCGTCTTTGTCTTCTTCTTCTTCTCAGCTCTCTTTGTCTAATTGTTCTTTTTGCTCTCTATCTTGATGTTATCTGAGGTGGAAGAAAGAGTGAAAGGCAGGAAGTACAGCCACTAAGTGCCTTTTAACTAAGCCTCGACTCATAGTGTTCTCAGAACAATGTAGTGCATGAAAGCTATATTTAAAAGTTAGGTCCTTATAGTTCTTTGGCCATATTGGGAGATGTTTGACCAAATCATTCCCCTGTTCCAGTTTCTTACTTGCATGCATTCATTACACTGGCCTCTAGTTCAGCGAACTGAACCAGTTGTGGGTTGGGGTCATCTCTTTTTGGTGTGCTGCCTCTTTCTCCTTATGTGCTCCATGTCCATATCCAGGCACTTCACTACCATGTTCCACTCCTCACCTTCTGACTTTTCTGGTCTTTCAAATGAACTGTGCATGTGGTGTAGCATCTGAACATCTCCTCCACTGTGATCATGATTTGGTCTCGTGTCATAGTCCTCTCAACCTCACTACACTCTCAGAAATAAAGGCACTAAACTGTCACTGGGGTGGTACCCTCAAGGGTACATCTCAGTACCTATGGTTAGGGAACACAACTGTACCATAATCCATTGAAATTATATTTTCCAAGTTGTATTGGCTCCATACACCCCGTCTCGTCTCCAAGTTTTCATCTTTTTGTTTTGTTTTAAACCGTTATGAAAGATACAAATATGTATTTTTCACCTGGAAAAACGTATATAAGGTACACAATTGGACCTTAGAACCACCGTTGTACCTTTCAGGGTACATTTACATTGTTTGTACCTTGATGATCGAAAAATATACCTAAACAGCACCATTATTTCTTAGTGTACAGACATTATAATTTCATGCATTGCAAATTATTTCATTGTGATGTCAACTTTAAAAAACACACAAAATCTGCCATGGTGGACGAATTTAGAGGCATAATTGTGTCACAATTTGAAAATTATTTAAAGTGATATCACCTGTAAAATACACACCAAATCTGCTGCATAACACATTTACAAACATTACTATGTCACATACTGCAAATGATCCCATTATGATGTCACCTGCAAAATTCACACAAAATGTGCTGTGATAGAACAATCTACATGCTTTATGATGTCACAGATTACTCCATTGTGATGTCTTGTGCAATATTTACTCGAAATGTTCCAGAATAAAACAAATTCACAGGCATTATGATGTCACGTACTGCAAATGATTCCATTGTGATGTCATCTGCAAAATTCACACAAAACGCAGCAAAGTGCAAAATCTACAGAAAGCAGTGATTAGTAAATACTGTTTGACCTGTATTCAATTGAAAACACAATATTTGATATTTTAGCCTGCAAACTCTTTTTGCATATTTGCAAATATATGCTCATTCCAAATTTGACGCCTGCAACACATTCTAAAAAAGTGGTGACAGGAGCATGTTTACCACCCTTACCACATGGCCTTCCTTTTGGGGTCTTATTCTGCGCTTCACATAATGCAGCAGGTCAGTCTAGCACCCGCACTCTCTAAATACGCAAGCATGCTGTTGTAATAGAAACAAAATGTGGCTTGGAGTTATCATGTTAAAGTAAGCATGGACATCTCTGAAGAAGACGTTGTCTAGAAGGCAGCATATCTTGCTCCACAATGTGTATATATCTTTCAGCTTTAATAGTGCCTTCACAGATGTGCAAGTTAAACATGACATGGGTGCTAATACATACCACGACAGACCCTGACTTTTCGACTTTACGCTGGTAACAATCTGGATATATCAATTTACATGCATTATTTCAGATGAGCTCAAGCCAGAAGTCAAAAGTATCTCCGGACATTGTTGACATATGGCTTCCACTGTGCAAAGTCATTTCTCCAGCTTCCCTGAATCTTTTAATGATATTATACAGCTGATATTACACATAGTATGAAATTAACAAAATAAAACATTAAATATATTCTTGTTGCCCTGTTCATAGTGGATTTACATATCACTGCTATTTTATCTGTATTTTACATATTGCCCCAAACTGTTGGAATTGAGCTTTTAATAGTAAGCATATAAGTTGTAAATGTAAAAGCTGATAAATACAGAGTTTCTATCATATATAGCTAAAGTTCAACATTATGCACAATGAAATTATTTGATTTCAATAACAGAACAAACAAACATCAAGGAAACTCAAAAAATTGTCTCAAAATTGTCCTTTTTATTTAGAGTCATGAAGGGCTTATAAAGTAGGCCAAGGAAGTGGACGTTTTGAGGAGGATAAAGTTTAGAGTGGAAAAAGTACCATTGCTATTAATACATTTCAATTTCAAATACTATGACACAGTATCCTCTATGTTATCTCAGGTTTGGCAGTGATCTGTGATACAGTGATACAGTTACAGTGAAAGCACATGAACGAGAAAGAAGGCTGAAAACATAAAAACCGTCACATTCAGAAACATTACTGTCCCTTATTGTGAATGAAATATGTTTGTGATGATGGACGTGGTAAAAGGCAGCGAGGGTGTGTAAGATGGAAGAGGTCGATTCGTTGGTTGGCGTTTTAAACAATGCGTGTTGGTAAGGACACAATTTATAAATTTCTATAAACAATATATTCTATTTTTCTGTAAATACTACACCCACTGTCAGTCTTAAGTAGCACCACATGGCTAGCTTTCAGTTACGGGGTCCTTCGGTAATTCTAGTGTGTTGTTACATCCAGTGCTCTTCATTCCAGTGTCACGCCCAAAGGTCAGTTCCAGATGATCCGTAGCTACAAAATGGGATATTTTTGAAGAAACCGGTCAAAGGCATCGTAAATGGCTTGCCTGCATAACAAAAAGAAAAGTCACATGATACTATTAGACAAAACAGGTAGAGACAAAATGGGGACACTGCCATATTACAATTACTATTCCAACTGATCCTTTGGTCAAAATAAAAGTCAAATAAGGAGTTAGAATCTTTGTAGATCTATAAAATCTGCACTGCTGATTTGTTAACTGCCAGTGGGCACACACATCTATAAGCTAAACAAACATCTGGTTTGCTCTTCAGGCTACAGATCCAGACACCATGGAACAGGTTTAATTTCGCCTTACAGGCCCTTCAACGGTAGTTGCTCGACTTCAGTCGCTCAGATCTGAATCACTGTCATCTAAACTTGTGTCAAAGCTTAAGTTAACTAGTATCTAACATGCTGGCTAAGCTTATGCTAACCAGCTCCACTCTCCTGGTTAGCAGCACTGTTTATAATTTATCAATCGTTAAATAGGTTTTAGACGGTTTGACATGATGTTAGCGAATTTTGCTACGTTTTCTTTCTCTAATATGACATAATGCAGGACGGGACAACCAAAAAGCTTCCTAAATGCTTTCATGTTACTTACACACTTACAACAAAGGCAATACCGAATACCGTGATAGTATTTGGAGATAGTTTGAAAGTATTAAACAAGACAATACCACCCAACCTTAGTACATGCTATACCCTTTGGAAACTTAGGATAGTGACAACGTAGCCAGGCTATACCAATCAACTAATCATGCCCACAAGGCTGTGTCTAGGGACGTTTCATAGTGCGAGAGTGAGTGTTGATTCCTGCTGACCTGAAGATGGCCTGTTTGAACAGGTAGGCGCTGATATGTCCTCCGCCGAGGTAGCGAACCTCACAGCCGGGCCAGATCTCCTGGAGGCTGCGCACACCGGTGCGAGGGACATACGCGTCCTCTTTGGCCTGCACGATGATGATCAGACTGGGATCTACCGGCACTGCAACACACAGAGGAGAAGAAAAGCATAAAGCTGCAATCTGGAGATGTGCACTCGAATTGATTTCGATGTTCAGGTATCCCCCTGTGCTAATTAATGGACACTGGGAAATTCTGGTCCAAAATTTCTGACACTGTCAAAACTTTGTCGTAGACCATCTTTGGTGCAACAACACTAAATAAGCTGCTGAAATGTTAAGACCACTGTTTTTGACTAATGACCAAGAAACTCATGGTCAAGATTTGTGATTTTTGCCTGCAACAGCATTATTGTGGTAAATATTGTACCTACTCTGACGCTCCCACTCCCCCCATACACACACCGATTGTCAAAACTTTAGGAACATGCTTTTATTTCTTTGTTTATTTATTCTTTTTGTCTTCATAACTAACTTAGAGACAGGTTTCAATAGAATGTGGTTCAGATCTTGCCTCTTTTCTTCGCAAAAGCTGCAAACCGGAACAACTGACAACTGAAAGTGAAAGTAAACACCCTTGGAAATAATGCCAAAGGCAATGCCTTTAATCATTCGCTGTGATATCAGCCCTCATCAGCATTCAAACCTTTTAGGTGTTTAAACCACCTTTCAACATCAGTTAAGAAGCGTAAACTATTAAGTTTGTCAAAAAATGTTTGTTGGTATGCTTGTAATTTGTTTTGAACTTTCCCCACTGAGTTTTCTGTCGCCGACTGAGAACCAGCCGAGAAACTTTGCATCATAGTGGTGAAGTTTGACTAGGCCATAAGCCAAGACACTTTCCACTGTGCTAGCAACATTTTAACAAGGCTGCCAGCCAGGCACTTTGCATCATCACGACGAAGTTTGACTTTGCCACAAGCCTGGGACTCTGCACTGCTGGGTCATGAGCCATCAGGAGAGTTTCCCTCATTGCCAGCTGGGGAACTGTGTGTATGTAAGTGGGTAATTTGTTGTTATTTGGAATTTAAAAAAGGCGCTATATAAATTAAAGCTACACTATGTAAGATTTGGGGATTTGGAGACCTCTCTGGCGGAAATCTGTAACTGCACAGAACATGCAATAGAAAATTTTGTAATGCTGGTTGTACTTCGGACCCTTTTTCCACGCAGAAAGAACGTTGAAAGAGAACTAAGGCGAAACTTGGTGAAGGATGTGTCTTACAAGGATGGAAGTGAATTATCTACTATAGTCATCATATCTACATCAGTATATCGCTGATTTTGCATTTTATACCTAAATATTTTCAGCCTGTGTGTGACATTAATATGTAAAGACATGGCCCGAAAAACATATTTTAGCATGCTGTTCTTCCGTCCTGACTCAATAATGCTAATTCATTCAAGTAGCAATTCAACACCCCAACTGCCCCCCCACAAAAAAAATCATTAATTATATTTAGATAAAACCCGTTCTTCATTTGAGAAATGTGAACTGATTGCTGAAGCTAAATATACCCAATGTATCAGCAAATATGTTTCATGTTAAAAAATTTTAAAAATAAATTACTTGATGAAATTGAAAGTAACCGTGAAAAGTAAACATTTTAAAAGAAAGCAAACTGTCCCAAAACAGTTGATGAGTATAATTGAGTATATACACCCTTTTAGATTAGCAGATCAAAAAGCAAATTAAGACATTTCAGCTTTGAAATAAGACACTGAGCCTAAATCAAAGCCTTATTTTATTGTCCAAAACCTACCAGAGAAGTTGGCGATATGTGTGCATTCGTCCATGACCCCCTTCATGAAGCAGAGAGATTCCCTCTGCAGGGACTGTCGCTGACCTGCTCCACGGCTGATGTTCTTAGCGTGGAGCATGTGCATGTGCGGCCGGCTGCTGCTCACGGCTGACAGCATGCGGTCCAGATCATCCCCTTCCCTCTGTTCCAGCAGCAGGCTGGGATCTGGACCTCTCCCGCTGGCCCCCACTCCGCCTCCTGCGGCCTCCCTGCGTAGTCCCACCCGTTCGTTCTGCTCACTGCTCAGACCCAGCAGGCTGGACGAAAAGGCCAGGTCTAAAAGTTTATCAAAGCTGCCCGGGGAGTCCCGCACAAAGTCCTGTCCCATCCGGAATGAATCTGTCTGGATGGAATGAACAGTGTGAAATAAATTCTTGTCAGTAGTTTCTACACACTTGAACTGAAACGGTTCAAAGCTGTTTCAGCTTAAAGCTTTAAAGATGTAGCAGCCTTTTTTGCTACTATTCTACCAATAATGAAAATATAAAATAATAAAATGTAAAGTAAATCTACAGCTGCAGGTGTCTGCCATTCGATTTAATTTAAAATCTTACATAGTAGTACATGTTGCCACCTTTCCAGACTCAAATTATGCCTAAACCTGCACTAAATAGGACTTTCAATGGTAAAACACCACCGGAAAAAGTTTAGTCCTTGTCCAAGAAAGTGGCCCTGTGTGTCTCACTGGCAGCTCCTCTATGCAGTACTCCAGCATGGGCATAATCCACTTAATTTACGATATTCTAGCGTGTGGATAATCCACTTACTCTACGATACTTCAGCATCTGTTTCATCCTCTTACCCCGCAATACTCCAGCAGGTGGATAATCTCCTCCTCGTAGACGGTGTGTGTAGCGTATTGCTTCTCTAGTTCTCTCCAGTTTACAGCTTTACTTAAAACTCCCTGTAAAAGAGACATTCATACAGGCCCATTGATCCAAAGGTGTAGTAGTGCTTTAATAATTTATCTACTGAAGAGTGAAACAATCCTAAAATGATCTTATAATAAAACATTTTTGTAAAAGTGCGGAGTTCTCAAATGTTAAAGGGGTACTCCTCCCAAAATGAAAAATCAGCTGTTGTAATTATACCTACTCGTCTCCTGTAGCGGTGCCACAATAGTCTCTTGAGTGATACTTTCTGGTTTAAATGACTAGTGATGCACCTTTCTGATGATGTATCTTGAAGGTGGGAGGAGCTTTGTTGAAAACTACAAGAGTGTTGGGCTGGATACTTCAGGGCGGGCTGTTTAAAATGTTTATTTGTCTCAGCTAGTTAGCTAACTCTGCAGAAAGTCAAAAGAAGCTAATGTTTTTGCCAAGTACGGAATGTAACAACTGTATTAATGGATGAAAAAACAACGATACAAAATTGTGATATCTGTCAAAACCATGAGGCTGATGGATGCAAAACGTTAGCAAAGGAGTGACATCTAGTGGCAGATGTTTGAAATTGCGCTAATACTGTATCAGAGTGCCCTGGATTAGACATCAACGTAAAGAGTGCACTACAATCATACATGCTAATATAAATGTGTAAACTACAAGAACAGATAAACAGCATAAAATCTTACCGTGGTAAAAACATTTGAAGCTGTAGTCCATGAGAGACAAGGGATTAGAGGAATAGGCTTGGGCCAGTTTGTCACAGCTAACGATGCCATCTGTGTAGGGGAACAAAACACGGATACTGTCTGAGTAAACATGTTAAATAAAACCCTGACTTCATTTCCCGGAGAGGATCATTCTCCCAAAATCCAAAAGTCCAAAAGCAACATAATGTCTATTAATGTCAATCATTACACATTTATTACATTTATTTTCATGATACATATAATACCATATATGCAATATATCGAAATTCCTCAATACCAATTTACACAATATGACCAAAAGTCTATGAACACCCCTCCTAATTATAGAGTTCAAGTGTTTCAGCCACACCCTTTGCTAAATTAAGCACATACACAGTCTCCACATATTGGCTGCAGAATGGGTGATAATGAAGACTTTAAATATGGCACTGCCACCTTTGCAACAAGAGAGTTTATGAAATTTCTGCCCTGTTCAACTGCAAATGCTATTGCTGTTGACTAGAAGTTTCTAGAAGCTAAAAAAGCTCAGCCAGGAAGCAGTACACCATGCAGAAGTGTGCAGCATGTAAAAGCTGCCTATCACTCACTACAGAGTTTCAAATTGCCTCTGTAAACAACATCAGAACAAGAATTGTGCATCGGGATCTTCATGAAATAAGTTTTCACGGCTGAGTAGCCGCACACAAGCCTAAGATCACTACATGCAATGCCACAGGAGTGGAGAGTGTTCTAGATGCAAAGCAACTCCAAATGAATGCAAATGGTTTTGGAATGGGATGCCCAACAAGCTTGTATAGATGTGACGGTCAGGTGTCCAAACACTTTTGGCCATATGGACTACCAATGTATCAGCCTTTATAAGGTTCCTACATGGCCTCCCATTGAGATGCCGGTCATGCCGAGCGGCCAGTAGCCCTCACGTTCCAGCCAGTGAAGCAGAGCGGCCGACTCCAGTATCAGAGCTCCGCCCATCACGAACAGGTCTGAAACGTTCTTCAAACTGGAACGCCTTCACAACATATGGGGCACAACAACATGCAAAAGCATATTAATAACAACATCAACAGACTTACTGAAAAGTGAAATACAACAAAGCCAAGTCTGATGCATATAAATGGATCCATTTTATGGCTCCACAATTTACTGCTTGTTAATCATTACTGTGATTATGACTTTTGACATACTGAAATCAAAGAAGGCAATATGCAAATGAGCCCTCTAACCAATCAGTGTGTGACCTGATACATGTACATTAGCATTCAACGTTTGGAATTACTGTTAATAATAATAATAAAGTGTTGCAGACAAAAGTATGAAATGGTTCTATTATACTGCTACTCTACACCTTCACAGACATTAGTAGGAAGTAGGATGTTAGATGTCCTGATTATTGCAATATTAGCTTTGGCAAATACTGATATCACAATGCAAATATGCTGTGAACATCTTAACCAATCACATTTCCTTATATGTGTTCCTGTGGGTCTTTTGATGCATCAAGTTGTTCATGTATTCAAACAACAGTAAATTATATTGGCCAAAATGATGCAGGTCAATCTTCATACATGTCACATTATTAATTCACTAATGTCTTTTAATAGATTGAAGATGTACTGCATTTGCAATATGCATCAATATAATCAACACTAGCATTTTGCCCATATCATGCAGTTCTACTTCCAGTACAGACCGTGTTAACTTTCAACTAGACAAAATTCCATTAACACTGTATGGAAGGTCTCAATAAAAAAGTCTGACCACTCACACTTGATCTTTAGGTTTCCGGTATCCATGTGGCATTGTGTGTCAAGGAAAGAAGACTCACCAAAAAGAATTAGGTAACACTTTACTGAAGGGCTGAGTTCATAAGGCTACATGACACCAGCATAAGACTTTCATAACAGCTGACATAAACCTATATTTCTAGAAGTTTATTCCAACAAGCAATAGTTGTCATCACACTTGCTGAGGTGAAATATCATCACCACTGACAAAAGTAGCCTTTATGACTTACAGTAAAAAGCCTTTATAAATGTTTATGTAGGTTAATGTCAGTTGTCATGAAAGGCTTACATAGGTGTCATGTAGCCTTATGAACTTGACCTACAGTAAAGTCTTACTGCTTTTATGCTAGAGAATCCCAATCTAGAGTAAAATTTCATCCATTGTGTAAAACACATCTTTGACATCTGCCGGCATAACTGACACACACACACACACACACACACACACACACACACTCGCACACGCACACACACGTAAACACACAGTAAGTGCCCTTTAAAGGATATAATATGGATTTTCAAGCAGCAGGGAAGCCATTCCTGTCTCTTTGATCATGGGTCTGGCCATGAGAGTTCGCCTCCTCCAGAAAAACTGAAAAATACAAAAGGTCAAAACTGAAGCTTGAATGAGAAGAAACAAAAAAGGACCGAAAACGTATTGGAGATGGGCATTTTAACCAAAAACACTGATTTAAAAAATGAGCATTTTCAAACGAATAGCGTCTGGTAATCCAAACAAGCAAATGTTTCATATTGTTATGAATAAAAAACAAAATCTCAAATAGTTTAATCTTAGCGTATTGCATATGGCTAGCATACGGGTTGATTTGTACCTGATCAGCTGACTTAAAGTCAGCAAAATAAATCAAGCGAAAACAACGCTGCAAAGCAGCATCTTTCTGGCCTGTGGTCTGTGGTTGCTGACCGTGATTGGAGGTAATGTCTGCTTTTTTGAGCCTTTATCTGACTGGGATTGGTCCATTGCATGAAGCGAGCTTTTAACATGATCAGAGGTTCAATTTTGTTTAATTATTTTGTTGTTTGAAGGATACTGACAGCTTATTTAGCTGTCTTTGTGTTTTAGAATACAAGATATATAATATATCAATTGTTGTCATACACAGTGACAATACAGAGCTGCTCAAACTTACAATGCAGGGGAGAGTGAGATACAAACCCAAAGGGATAAAATGTAAAAACATTTGCTAAACAGTCTTAATTACATGTCATTTTCTCTTATTTATATAGAATCATCATGTGAATGTGTGTAGCAATCGTAAATATATTTTTAAAATTCTTACCATGAAAACAATGTTTTTCCATCTTAAATGTTTTTTGATTACTCAGTGTTTGTTAGTCACAGAAATCACACTCATTTTAACCGCCATCTTTGTAAAACTTATAACCAACACATAGTGAGAGTGAACCAGGGTAAAGTACAGCCTCCACACAGGGGGGGTTAGTGTTAAAACAAAGACTCCCAAAGTAAACAATGAGAAAAGCCCATATCCCCAATATGAATTTAAAAGTTTATTTGTGGGAATTATTTTTTATTCACATGTTAAACAAATGTGTACTATATATATCATTTAAATAACATATTGCAAATGTAATATGCTGATATATGTTGTTCTACTTTGTGGTCAAGAAGTATATTTGCCAGTGTTCGACAGCCTCTTTTCACTAAGTCTATTTACTTTGATGCATATATTTGTATGTATTTACACTCGAAGGCTTGTCTGGTTCGAAAAACACAGAATAGTACTGAATAAGTTTAAAAAATGAGAGTTTTTCACAGCTGTTACAACCAGCCCCTCCATCAATTATAATGAACTGTGCCTATGGGGCAAGCTGTAATACCTGTCCTCACTCAGCTTTCGATTGTTCTGTTCCTAAACAGTACACTTGAAAAAACAAACACTGTATAGAAAAAAAAATTAAAAATAAAAAAACAGAAAATGTACTGGCAAAAAATGACAATCGTGTCACTCATTTAACAAAAATTCTGTTACGATTACAGCACATATTCTGTGTATATACAGGATTATTCCTTCACTTTATATACGGAACATTCTGTAATTCAGACAAGTTTCCTTTTATATCCTCCACTGGAACCCAACTAATATGTTTACTGGCTGGTTATGCAAGCTTTTTCGCTAACTTAACAGCTACTTTAATTATTATAACTTCAGGTAATGTTCAACGCTGTAGCCACATGTCTAGCTTAATATTATACCTAACATTTTTATATGGTTACAATCTTATTAACAACACATTTGAGTTCATCAGCATGGTTAAAAAGTAGCTGGGTACTCTCTATGATGACGAAGGAGGAGTTTCTCCCCTAGTCTTATTTGACTGCTGCACTCTGTGCTGCAGCTGTAAGGAGTGGAGCAACCGGTAAAATACCCAGCATGCAACGCATGCTTAGAAATACGGATAAGTCACAGTGAAATGCAGAAACAGAAAAATTCTGTTTAAATTATACAGAGGAATAACCTGTTAAAAACGGATATTTTTTACAGTGTATGTGCTAGAAAGTTGCTTAAGTCAAAACAAAGTTTCAAGTGTTTGTAAGCTGATTGAAGCAAAAACTATATTTTGCTCAAATATTTTTTAAATGATTTAGCAAAAAGCTAAGTGAGATTATCTCCCCTCTCGCCCACAATTTACCATTATTTAGTATGAAATATATGGTCTTATTAAAAATAAGGTCTTATTCCCCAATATTCTCTGTTAGTCTAAATCATATGTACAATTAGAGAAACCTATTTGAACATTACAAGATACATAATTTCTTTCTGTATTTAATTAAATGATTACTTATATGACTTTGGATGTCTGTATATTCAAAACAACCATGTCCATCATTAAAACAAACAAAACCAGCACACTTACATGGTCTCCTGTTCCAGCCAAATGGATGCAGACTGGTCTGTGCTTTCTCCATTTTTTGGGTATTATAAACTGAAACCTATGAAAAGAGAAATTCAGTTTTGGCACTTTCCTTTGGCACATCCTGAAAGCTTTGAATAATCTTTCTGGTGTATGCTGGTGTATGATTGGCATGGTTACCTGGCTTTGACGGACTCTGTTGGCAAAATGCCTGGAACAAAGTGTTCCAGGGGAGATATGAAATGGCCATTGTGAATTTTACAGTCTGAGTGATCTTCCACCTACAAAATGAATATTTCAAATGTGTCCAGTTAACAACTACAGCTTCAGACGAGTCTTGAAGAGAACAAGGCTATTGCAGTATACATGTTTTTCATACACGTTTGCTGCTGCTCTTTGACTGTGTGGGAAGGCTAAACAAATACCAGTTTAAAAAATGGAAGGAGTGCAGTGGTTGCAAAGGTCTAGGTTGGGATCTAACTGATAAAACCACATACGCAGCTGAACTTTACCTTATCAATAAAAACTGGATAGTCCCGTGGTACCAAATGCTTACACTTGTCTCTGTCTCCAATGATCTTCCGGAACTCAAATATTCTGTTGATAAAAAGGAGAAATGTCTATAAGAACAAGAGCTAATGACTCAAAAATCACACACAGTGCTGCCACCATTAGAGTTACACTCACAGTTAACACCTGTAAAGCATGCATCGTAGCACTGGACTCTAACTAATATAAGGTACTGTGTAACAGAGGCCACTCGTCATTTAGTTTATTTCCAGACATTACAGCTATTAAGTACCAGTAAGTTATTAATTTTGCAGCATTAGGATAAAAAAGGAAAATATATTTAACAGAAAAATATTCAGGAGCATCAATAACTACATTATATAACACTTAAATGGTCCATATTTAGTGTCCACACTTTGTCTTTAATACAGCTTCCAATCTTTTCAGGAGAACTGTTTTCAGTTTCTCAGAGAAATCTGCAGGGATATTTTTCCACACCTCCGAAGTTCTGTCTGAGAAGTTGGTTGCATTTTCCGCTCCTTATAATCCAATCCCAAATACATTCATTGATGTTGAGGTCTGGACTCTGGAGTGGACAGTCCACTGTTCTGAGAGCACCAAAAGCTTCTTTTATTTGCAAATTCCTTTTCTCAGTAACGGCTTCTCGACAGCTACATGTCCGTTCAGACTCACAGTGTTGAGTCGTCTTCTCACAGTGGAAGGATGGACAGAAACACCTGTGGATGTTTTCAGATCTGAAGCAGCTTGATTTTCTCCTCTCTCTCAAAGAAGAAAGCTTTAAGTGCTGTTTATCTGACGGGGACAGTTTTGGTGTCTACCAGGTCTTACACGGTTGCCAGTTTTGGAAAGTCTTGTTTTTTCATTTATTTTTCTTTGGCTTTTTCCCTCCTTATGCAAGTGGATTTAAAAAGATGGTTCTGCAAGGGTAAAGAAAATGGTTCTATATAGAACCATGAACACTATATAGAACCTTTCGCATGATTAAGGGGTTCTTTGCATCACGAAAGGGTTCTTCAGATTGATAGAGAATGTGTAGTAGTTGCTTCTACATAGAACCTCTTTGAAAATGGTTCTATATAGCACCAAAAAGGGTTCTTCTATTGTTCTATATGCACTCTTAAATATGATGGTTCTTCAAGGGCTCTCTATTTAGGAAAATGGTTCTATACAGAACCAGGAATACTTCAAAAGAACCCTCTGCATGATTAAAGGGTTCTTTGCATCATTAAATAGTTCTTCTTCAAATTGATGAACAACGTGCTGTAAATGGTTCTATCTAAAACCACCTACGGCACATTTTGCCGTCAATCTGAAGAACACTTTCATGATGCAAAGAACCCCTTAATCATGCAAAGGGTTCTATAAGTGTTCGATATAGAACTATTCTCTTTACTGAAGAACCCTTGAAGAAGCATCATTTTTAAGTGTGGACAATCATATACAGCACACTCTCCATCAATCTGAAGAACGCTTTCATGATGCAAAAGAACCAGTTAATTTATGGAGACGGTTCTTTGAGTACTCATGGCTCTATATAGAACCATTTGCCTCACTAAAGAACTCTTGAAGAACCTTTTCTTTGTGTATACACCCATATGCTTATAAATAATGGCTGTTGTCAGAAGAAAACCTCATATCTCCAAAATATTAACTTTTCAGGAGAAGGAAAAAACATACTTTACTTTTAATGTAAGTCAATGGAACCAGACATTTCTCCAAGTCATTTTGGGCCGTTTCTTTTGGATTTCTTCATCTTTTCCATTCATCATGAAATTTACACACAATGTAAAGAACAGCAGGTATTTTCAAATGATGTCAAAACTGAAATACGTCAAAAATGGAGAAATGAGGTTTTGTTCCGACAGCAGCGATATATTATACACATACACACACACACACATAATCATGAGTCATTGATAGGTGAGTATCTAGTTACTTTGTTGTGTGCCTCCGGCCCAAAACTGGACAAACTGTCTTAACCACTACAGTACAGTATTAACTTACAGCATACATATTCCAGGCATAAATGAAGAGTCACAAACTGCAGCACTGCAGATGTGATTCAATGAGAGACCAGAGATGGCTAATCATGGCCTATTTATAGAGCGATTACAAAGCTGGAAATTCTAGGACGAGGACAGACAACCCTGTCTGAGGGGAACTGGACACTGATCAACTGTCTCAATTTCCCCTCCAACACCAGAGACATTTGGACATATATAGCCTCATCATATTCATTTGTAGATAAGCTGACCACACAAACTTAGTAGGTTACACTTTAGGTCATGGAAACAACAACAACGTTACTCTGAAGTCTGATTCATGTACGACATGTTGCTGATGTACAGTACCGTTTTAGGTCCTCTGGCTTTCCCCATCCTTGGATGAAGAGTTTGGTGAGGAGGAGCTTTCTGTAAAGAACATCAAGCCGGCTCACACCCATTTGCAAGGACCTGTCATCTGCAGAGAGTAACATTTCTGTGGTCAGAAGCACCAAAGCAATTTCGAAACAGGCTTAACATCCAAAGTGGCCAACATGATTCAACGAGCCGCTTGGCACAGCAGTTATCCGGAAGAACCTGTTCAACTGAAGATAAAGTCACTCCTAGTCTTGCCCAGCATACTTGAGTCAACTTCACAAGCCAGATCAGGCCTAAGATTAGACAGCCCCACTGGCACTGCAGTCAAATTCAAGATGATGTGTAATCCATGTGCAAAAAACCTGCCCAGTAGATATAACATAATGCAAATTAGGCTGATTCATCTTTCACTTTCATAACTGACCCCAGCTGTTTTCAATAAACCTAAGAGCTTAGGAACCAGATGTCTGAGTTTAATGCCTCTGAAAGCTCTCTCACAAAAACATTATTACATGAAATCATTAGATATATGCAGCCTAATGTCCGACATATTGTTTTATGACAGGTTTGTGATAAGGTTTTGGCTTAAAATGTATTTTAATCCATTTATTTTAATCCTTTCATGGTGGAAGGGTACATGCAGGGTGTTGTTAGGCAAAATAGTCCCCAAAGGAAACATTTTTTTTTTCAGATTTATCACTATTTTACTATCATCAGCATTACATACAAAAACTCAGTAGAGACATGGTGGTTTTGGTTAGTACATAAAATGCCTCTATTTGTGTTGCAGACACTGCGATCCCTGGTTCCCATCACCACCACTGTAAAGAAATCTGAGTTTGAACCATTTCACAACAAACCATTCTGAATACATTTCAAGGACTTAATTATGCAGAAATTTTTAAAAGTTGGTGGAATTTCCCTTTCAGCAGGCTATCTGACAATTGAAAGATTTAAGTATAAAATTACTGATTTGCATTTAGCTTAAGATAAATAGCTGCTTCACATATTTACGTTCACATAAAATGTAACTTCAGAACTATAAGTTACTGGATTTTAGTGGTTTAACGTTATAACAGAATACAGTGACCTGCAGCCTTATTAGCTTTACCACAGTCTAACTGAAACTTTCCATTCCCACCTGTCTGAGGTGCGAAGCTGAACTCAGGTTCCTATTTGCCAGCTTCTTGTTCGAACTTTCCCGTTCCACCTTAAATGATGTAGCAGCTGCATTCTGGCGTCTCAAGCACCAGTGTGTAACTGCTGCACCATTTAAGGTGGAACGGAAAGGTTCGAACAAGACGCTGTTAAATAGGAACTTCAGCCTCGTTGTATGAGGTGGTCACCGAGAGCCACAACGTAAAGTCGGGACGTTTCCTAAAGCGAATGAAAGTCTGACCGAGTTAGAAAAGCTCATTTTTTCTGCCGCCAGTCGTGTCCAGTCCAGTGTCCCCGGCGCTCGGACTTTACACTTATTTTATTCTGTAGTTTTGGTCCAGTCTGACTGACAGTTTCAGCTCAGCTCAGTTCAGTTCAGCTCAGCTCAGCTCCCTCTCTCTCTCTCTCTCATTCAGTTCTGTTTACTAACCGCTGTGTTAGTAACTTAAACTCTCGCGCACAAACGTAAAGCGGTCAAAGTAACTGTAAAAAAGCGGGAAAACAACGTGAAAAACGATACCTCGACCTAAAGCGGAGATCTGAGGACTTTTGGCTGTTTGTCATCGCAAAGGGCGAATTCCGCCTCAGAGCGCACCACCGTCCCAGCATTCAATGGAAGTGTCGTGTGCACCGCTTCTTCTTCGGTGGTGGCGGTGTTGTTTGACATCCAGCAGGGGGCGACATTCATTTTTTACATTCCACCAGCAGGGGGCGACATTCATTTGTAAAATCCACCAGCAGGGGGCGACATTCATTTTAAAAATCCACCAGCAGGGGGCGACATTCATTTTTAAAATCCACCAGCAGGGGGTGACATTCATTTTTAAAATCCACCAGCAGGGGGTGACATTTCTCCAGCCATTTTTTTCCAGCAAAATCTCTCATTTATAAATCAAACTGTTCGAATTCTGGATCTTTCTTAAGGAATCTGAGCCGCATCTGAGGTTTAATAGATCCTCTGACAAAACAAAAAACTGTTGACTATTTGCAATAAGTTTGGAATTATTTAATCTGACTTTTCTCTTTGAAAATATTCGCTAATACAGATGCACAGTTTGTGATCCCTCCTGGCATTTTCTTTCTCTTTCTTTCTTTCTTTCTTTCTTTCTTTCTTTCTTTCTTTCTTTCATTTTTCTCTCTCTCCAATTCTTCTACCTACTTCTTACTCTCTGCTCTCTTTATCCTTTATCACTTTGGTCAGATAAGTGAGTAAATGAGTAATAAATAAGTAAATTAATTAATTAATTAATTAATCAATTCCACCAGCAGGGGGCTTATTTTCTTTTTTCGTTAATGATTTGCAGGATGCTGAACTCAGCGACACCGTAATTGAATTATTTGACTATTGGCCTGCCTGACGTTACATAATATGTATTTATATTAATTATTAGTTGAAGTTGTTTTTATTAATACTCCATTATGCTTTTATTATTGCTTTTCCTTTCCTGAGATAATCAGGTAGATAACTGTTATTATATATACGTGGAAAGTGCAGTAATTTATTAAGTATGTTTAGCAATGATAGAATGATATAAAGGTAAACCACGTGATGAAGGACTTCTGTCTGAAACGTCCCCTCTCTCTCTCTCTCTCTCTCTCTCTCTCTCTCTCTGTCTAAATAGATATGTATGATATTTAAATTTAGAGACATTTAAATCTCTTACATTTACCTGTTCAGTCAGTTAGCAGAGCGGAGCAGGACTGACAGTACCTCAGTTTAACAGCAGGGGGCAGTGCTCACCTTATTATTAGGCTCAGGTACTACTTTTCAGAGACCTGTGATTGACGTGTAATTCAATGGTGTTAGAGAATGAATAAATACATAACAAACAAACAAACAAACAAACAAATAAAGGTCACAATAAGTTAAATTCTGTAAATCTAACAGGTTTCTGCTCCACGTCGTTCAGTCCCCTGACACGTGTCATTCATCCTGGCTGACCTCTGCCGGACTCTTCTCTGAGTGACAGTTATGATATATGGCATGGAAACACAGCGTGGAGAGATCAGCGGGTAATTTTCCTTATCATTTTATCAGCGGTTGTAGGAAAGTGAGGTCAGGCTGAAAACCGGAGACTGCAGGTCAGAGCTGTGTGACTCTGAGTCCACCTCCGTTATTAATGAGATAATTGACTTTCTCGGCGATATCTGTCACCATATTCCTCAAAATGAGATTATCAGCGCTGATAGATCCTCTGACCCTCCTATATAGCCGTTCGTACGGGCTCGGTGTCATAGGCAGTGTGAGAGCTGCCTGAGGAGGCACCTCGGAGAGCTTCGAGCAGCTTTTTATTGGCTTTGCAAAGGCGACAGGGACGGACTGATCATGGGTCACCTCTCCAGGCTGCTCCCAGCCGTGCTGGGCGGACTTTTAGTGAGTGCGAGCGCCGAGCAGAGCGCCTTCCTGGGCGACATCCTGGCGGTTTATGGCCAAGACGGCTTACTGGATCACAACGGCTTTAACAGTCTGCTGGAAACCTTCGCACAAGAGAACCGGGGGGAGAACCAGCCTGTGCAAGCTCAGGTAAACATGCTCCTCAGCAGCCCTGCAGCTCCAACAACTCTGAGAACCAAATAAAGCCTTTTTAGTGTTTTTAACTTCTGATCCGTCCATGAATTTCAGTTTTTCTTTATTTTGTGCATGAAAACCACTTTCACTGCTATTTTAAAGAGATGGTTCTTCAAAGGTTCCTTACTAGAGGAAATGGTTCTGTTAAGAACCGTGAGTTCTATATAGAACCATGTCATGCTAAATTGTTCTCTGCATGGTGAAACTGTTCTTCAGACTGATGGAAAATGGTTCTGTATAGCACCAAACAGGGTTCTGCTATTGTTAAGAATGTGAAGAACCCCTTTTTGTGCTATACAGAACAGTTTTCAAAAAGGTTCTATATAGAACCATATGCAACACGTTCTCCATCAACCTAAAGAACCATTTCACCATGCAAAGAACCATTTAAGCATGAAATGGTTTCTTATACACACTTAACAATGATGGTTCTTTTAAGGTTCTTCAGTAAAGAAAATGGTTGAATATATAGAAACATGAACACTCAAAGAACCCTTTGCATCATATAAGGGTTCTTCAGAGAATGTGTTTTATATGGTTTTATATAGAACTTTTTTGAAAAGCGTTATAGCAACAAAACGGGTTCTTCTATTGTTACAACGTCAAGCCTGTAACAATAGAAGAACCATTTTTGGTGCTATATAGAATCTGAAGAATGCTTTTACCATGCAAAGAACCCCTTAAATGTGCACAGGGTTCTTTAAGTGTTCATGGTTCTATATAGCACTATTTCCTGTAGAATCCAATAGAACCATCTTGAAGAACTCTTAAAGAATCATAATTTCTAAGTGTGTAGAACACATGGTTCTAAATAGAACCATTCCCTTTAGAATCCAGTAGAACCATCTTGAAGAATGCTTAAAGAACCATCTTTTTAAGTGTAGAACACATGGTTCTAAATAGGACCATTTCATTTAGAATCCAATAGAACCATCCTGAAGAACCCTTGAAGAACCACACATTTAATTATGTAGAACACATGGTTCTAAATAGAACCATTCCCTTTAGAATCCAATAGAGCCACCTTGAAGAACCCTTGAAGAGCCATAATTTTTAAGTGTGCAGAACACATGGTTCTAAACAGAACCAGTACCTTTAGAATCTAATAGTACCATCTTGAAGAACCCTTAAAGAACCATAACTTTTAAGCATGTAGAACACATGGTTCTAAATACCACCATTCCCTGTAGAATCCAATAGAACCATCTTGAAGAACCCTTAAAGAACCATCATTTTAAGTGTGTAGTGCACATGGTTCTAAACAGAATCATTCCCTTTAGAATCCAGTAGAACCATTTTGAAGAACCTGTGAAGAACCGATAGAATGCACTGGAGTGTGATTAAGTTTCATCAACCCACATAAAAGTAATGCACTCAAAAAAATGAACCAACAGGGTTGTTTGGTTTACAAACTGAAAAGATGTTGATGTTAAATAAGTGAATTTTGTTGTCTTTAAGTATCTGGTTTATTAAAAATGGACAAAAATGAATGAATGTACATTTTAATGAATGAAAACTGATCGAAGGACAATTTTATTCCAATGAAACCCAAATAATTGAGCTGAAATGTTTCAATTTTGTTCCATCACCAGTTGAATTAACAGTGAGATATCAGAGTCAGTGTCTACTGACTCTGCTCAGTTTGATTGAATGGAAATTTGTGGCCTAACTGATTTAAGTTCATATAGCAATACATTTTTTTGAGTATGATAAAGACCATAAGAGGATCCGAACAGGCAGAGATGGGCAGAGAATCCTAAACCCATACTATTGTAAAAGCACTATTGATTCTGTGAAATAACGACTCAAGTAAAAGGAAAACATACCTGTCTAAAATAACTTAGGTAGAAGCACCAAAGAACTAAATAACGTAAAGAACTGTGGTTGAACTTAGTATAGCACTGCTGTCAGAACAAAACCTCATATCTCCATTTTTATTGTTTTTTTTTTGTGTGTAAATTTCATGAAGAATGGACCAAAGGAAACGATCCATTACAGAAATCATGAAGTTTGCAAGGCTCAATTCTTCTCGAACCCAAAAAACTACTTAAACTAAGTGTTAATGACTAAATTATAGTAAGTTAAAAACATGGATTCTTTTCTTTGCCAATACTGCAGTAGAATTAAAAGTATTGTCGTTTGAAAGCACTTAAATATCCATCAAAACATCAGAGCACATGGAACTGAGTAAATGAGTTACTACCTTCTTCTATGAACTAGGCACATTTCAACATTCCTAGCTTGACTGATTTTGAGCTAATGGATTAGCCAAACTCCATAAGTGGAGAAAGGTCTCCTGACTGACCCCTTCTCCCTCACTCTCTCTCTCTTTCTCTCTCTCTCTCTCTCTCTCTCCCTCTCTCTCTCTCTCTCTCTCTCTCTCTCTCCCTCTCCCTCTCCCTCTCTCTCTCTCTCCCTCTCCCTCTCCCTCTCTCCCTCTCTCTCCCTCTCTCTCTCTCTCCCTCTCTCTCACCCTGGTTCGGC